AAAGAAGTATCAAGTAATATAATATTACAGAAAATAGAAACCTGCGTCATATTTAAGAATTATATAGAAAATAGTTATTTATATTATTGTGTCATTGTACAAAAATATATAGAAAAATAGAAAAAAAATATTATAAAATATTTATAATTATCTTTTAATAATAAAATTAATAATAAATTAGTAAAAATTCAGAAAGTAATAAAATATTAGAAAATGAAATTTTCCACAATATATATTGAATTACAATGAAAACAATTAAATTCGAAATAATTTGAAAATGATAAACCTAAAACAAAATACATTAAAATACTAGCTATTGAATTTTGAAAGTTTACGTTATTGTTAAAAAATTTAGCATCAAATTTCGAAAGTTTTTGATAACGAAATAATACATATTAAAATTTAACCATTAAATTTCGATTTCGAAGGGTTGCAACATAATCGATAACCTTCAAAATCTAACATTGCGATATAATTTCAAAGGTTTTTGAATTAATATAATTACTGATGAACTTATTCTTGTATTTATAGTTACTTAGTATTATTTTTGATATGCACTTATAAAAAAGTAATAAAATCTAAAATTATATAAAAAATATTTGAATTTATAAAAAATATTTGAATTGATCTGAATATACTAAATTGAATTTAGATTTTAAAAAGTTAAATCTGTATATGACAAATTTGAGAAAAATAAATATTAGATAGATTCAAATATTAGTAAAAATCTGATCTGATTTAACTTTGCAAAATCTTAAATTATTTTTTATATCTTAAAATTATATTAGAAAAAAATCTACTATATAAAATTAAAAATTAACTTAATATATTTATATCAATAAATTAATAAATAAATTGATAGAAAAAATAAAAGATAAAAAAAAATATTTTTTTAATTAATTTATTAATTTAGATTTTATAATCTCATAAAACTCTCTTAGTTATATATACTAATTAATAATTTACAAAACAAAAGTAAAATTTTTTTATTTTTTAATATGAAAATCAACAAATAATTCAGTATATCACATATTATATATCAGAGTTGCAAAGATTTTGTTTTTAATAGATTTATAATTATTTTTTTAATATATTTATTTTAAAGTAATATGATATAACAAATATATATTGTTCATATGATAAACAGAATATGAATATTATGTGTGAATCAAATAATTATCAAAAAAATAACCATAGGTATGTCAAAAAAATAGCCATAAATTTATCAAAAATAATACTTTTGCATTAGAGCTAACTTTGATGTGACATTTTACAATCTATATTCATTTTTTCAATATATTTAATTTAGTTACAATAGATATAAATTTTGACATTATTCTGACAAGGTTGTATATATTCAATTTTACTTAGGAAAATGGAGAATGATAATTAATAAAATCAAAAGTAGTTACACAAAAACTGATCAAAAATAATTTTAACACAAATTTGCTTGCTAGACATTTTAAAGGATATTAGAGGATATTAGGTGACAAAGTTGTTTTTAAACTTCAAGATAAGAAAAAATTTGATACATTTGTTTGCTACAGCATTTCTCATATGCAAGCTGTGTAATTACACGAGATTTAGTATTTGTATATGTGCAATTTCTAATAGAGCAAGGCCTAGAGTTTTTGGTTTTCATTTTCAAAACCGCGCGGAAAAATAGAAAATAGAAAAAATAAAATTTTTTGCAAATTTGTTGACCAATTATATTTAATGAAAATCATTACGTGATCTCCCGTGATAGCCTATCAAAAGAACTTCTGTCATGCTTATTTTAGAATTCTACCTACTTTACCAATTAAGATTGACCAACAAATAATGGTCAGGAATTCGGGTTAAAAAAAAATAATAAATCACACATATCTAACGATATAATTTTTCAATGTCTGTACCGACGTCATCTTCTTCTTCTAGCAACTCTTCTAACTTTAGCTGTCCAAATGGCAAAGTTAGAATATTCATTCGTTCTCCAACTATTCCATCACTCGAAGGGTTTTCAATATTAATTAGTCTTGACTCGTCGGTTCTGACTTTGAAACAAGCCATCTTTGAGTCCCATCCACTAAAACCTATAGTTAGTGACCAAAAATTGATATATAGAGGAAGAGTATTAAATGATCCAGATACCATAATAAATATTTTGAGGGATGGGTTGGAAACGGACCAAACTTTTCATTTGGTAATTAAACCTTCATTCCAAGCGATCACTGAAACTACCGGGATTCCTACTTCCACAAATTCTATTCCGTCTTCCATTCCGTCTTCACAACAACAAAGGAATCGATTCCCTCAAGGTTATACATCTACTTCACCCAATACACAACTTCCGGATCAGAATAATAGACCTAATGGTACTGCGGATCCAGCTTTACAAAATCCTTACAATTATTACAATTATCAATATCCATATCCGTATTCTGTAATGCAACAGGATAATTCCCAACAGCCAATATCTATTAATCAAAATTCATTTCCAATGGGTCAATATTATTACGTTATGATTAAGTAGGTTTGTTATATATATTTTTAATGATTTTCTTTACTAATTCCTTCCAAGAATTTTCCGAATATTTAACTCTTTAATTTCTATAATTTCTGTAATTCCATGATTTTTCATAATTTCATAATTTTTCATATAGTGGGATGCCATATCTTGCACCAATTCAATACCTATATCAATATCCATATCCATATCCATATCAACAGGCACAACCTCCACAAATTGGACAAATTGGACAAATTGGTATTCATGCACCACAACCTTTCGCTGCGCAAGTTCAAGAACCACCACAAGATGCTGGGGCAAGAAATCAACGTCGAGCTTCAACTTTTTTGTTGATTTTAAAATTAATATTTTTGGTGTACATTTTTTCTCAAAATGCCAGTGCCGAACGAATGATTTTATTATACATTTGTGCATTAGTTATTTTCTTGTATGTAGTAAAAAAACTGCATATAAATTTTTTACTCGTACTGCTGCGTTCACTTATTCGATTTTACTAATAAAATATTAATATAGGTATCAAACTGGACGCTTGCGAATAGTGCGGAGACGTAGACAAAGATTTATAGTCCCACTTAATGAATTATTCGGTATGAAACATTTTTCACACGTAATTAATGTAATTCTTATATATAATTAATGTGATTCTTATATATGATTTAAATAGCTCAACAACCCCAAGCACCTATTGTACAACAGAATCAAGAGGCACAACCAAATGTTCAAGTAAATTCAAATAATAATATTGGGACATCTTCTCCTGAACAATCTTCGTCACAAAATAATAATTCAAATAATAATAATAATAATAATAATAGTAATAATAATACTTCAGCAGCATCTTCATCGTCTTCATCATCTTCAGATCAACAGAATAATAATAATAACAATAATGACAGTTATGACAATAATAACAATAATAACAATAATGATATTAATGATATTAATGGAGCGCAACCACGTGTCAGAGAAAATACGCGTTCAATTACTCTACAAGACATTGAACATGGAGTATGGACCTTTATTACATCATTGATTCCAACGAATGCGCCCGATGTTGGACAACAAGAAGACGTAGGAATGTAGATCATCAAAGAGTAGAATAATCTTTCTAATTAATTGATAGAATAGTTTTTTTTTTCTAAACTAGAATGTTTAATATTTTAGCCAAAAATAATGAATTTTACATATATATGTTTTGTACATTTATTACATTTTATATTCACATTTATTCATAATAAATTTATTTTTATTCAAATAAAATTTCATTTATGGGTCAACAATAAAATCATGTTATTTGTTATTTTTTTTTTTTTAAGAAAAAGATAACTGGATATTTCCCCTGTCAAAAGGAAATATATATTTTCTATAATATTTCAAAAAAAAAAAAGCAATTTTATTCATTAACATTAGATAAAAACGATTAATGTTTTAATGTTCTTTTACGACATTAACATTGATGATAATGTTCTCTACGCCATTAAATATTGACATTGGATAAATAATAATGTTAAGAAATAATTTTAGAAATTGTGCATCAAAAAAAATAAATTCTATTCATTTACATTTCAAAAGAAAATCTAATATAAAATAAAAAACACATTTGATCTAATTGGTAATTAAACTTTTAAAGAAACGAATGAAAATAATGAAATAATAAATGAAAATATACTAACATCGATCGAATTCAATAATTGAAATTCAAATAATTCAAAATAATTCAAATTTAATATCTTACTCCATTGAGAAACATAATTTCTCTAAAAATCGCCTCTAATTCACCTGCCGATTTATAAAAAATTGTATCTGACTTATTATAAGTCCTTGCATTATCCCAAATTTTTTGAACATCAACTGCAAATTCTGAAAGAGATTGATATCTATCATTTTCTACTCGTTTTAATACCGTAGAGAGATCCATTGGATCCTTTATAATATCGTAATAATCCGAAACCTCATTAGAATTGACGGGTTCTCGAAACGGCATGGAAATATGTTTGTTTTTTAATTGTTTAAGAACATCTAACATTATAACATAATGTGCTTTATGTTTAGTGTTTTTTGCTCGTTGATCCAATTGAGGTGTCCAACCTGATTCTTTGATTCCTGGAACCAACATTGGATCTATATATTTAACTCCATTCTGGAAACATGTGAGACCCTTATAAATCTTAGGAGGTTTGTTTGTTTTCGCTAATTTTTCTCTCACCGCTCGTTTTTGTTTTTCCAAGATTTGCCGAATTTGATTATACTTTACTTTTGGTATTAAAGTACACTAATATTTCCATCAATTGAAGATTAATTGATATTTTTCCGAATACCATCACCACCACCACCACCAACAACAACAACAAAGAAAGAAAATAAGCCATAATTGATTCTATTATAAAAAAAAAATAAAGAAAAAAAAAATGAAAATCAAAAAAAAAAAAATGAAAAATAAATATACCTACCTGCATTAGTGTAGCTCCTGTATAATCTTTTATGTATCCACCCCATCTTTCTTGATTTAACGTGATATCCTTTGTAAATCCATGTTTTTTAAAAAATCCAATAGCCAAATCATCAGCATAAACCATGAAATCAAAAATATTATAATTATCTTTTATATAATCCTTAAAATAATTCATTAGTTTTGATCCAAAACCTTTCACTTGTTGATCACTATCAATTGCAAAGAATACAATCTCGATAAAACGTTTTTCGAAAAAAGGTCGATAACAAATTCCACCTACAATCTTTGATGGTTCTTTAACAATCGCTAAACTATAATGATTATAATCATAAACTACCCTCGTAATATAATTCGCTGGCATATGTGGTAAAGCAGTTGTAAATAATACTTTTATTCCAGTAAGTAAAGTTAAATTATCACGCGTCCCATCATTTTTAAGTAAACGGAATTTATAACCTCCTTCTAAAGAATTATTACTATTATTATTAATATGATTATTATGATTATGATTATTATTATTATGATTATTATTATTATGATTATTATTAAGATTATGATTATTATTATTAAGATGATGATGATGATTATTATTATTATTACTATTATTATTACTATTATTATTACTATTATTATTACTATTATTATTATTATTATTATTATTATTATTTTGCAATGGATCCATTATTTTTGTTATTTCCGCTCTCAAACTTATTATGTAAAAATCTTCATATTCTGAATCTAACGTTTTCCCATGTTTTGTTAAATGTTCATCAATTTTAATTGTATAATCAAAAAGTTTTTTTATCTCATCTCCCGGTACTTTTGAAATATCAGCATGTGAATTAATTTTATGATGACAAATACAAAATTCCATATTTAAAGTATCCTGTTGCCAACCAGTACAAGAACATCTCTCTTGTGAATGATTTGATGACTTTGCTGTGCAAGGCATAATCCGAGCGATTTTGATAAGTAAATCCCGAAGATTATTGTTATTATTATTATTATTATTATTATTATTATTATTGGTAGATGACTCAACTGAAATATGAGTTGGTTGTTGATCTATTATTGACATTTTTATTGAAATTTTATAAATTTGTTCCGTTTAAATGATTCTTTTATTACCAAATAATTATTTATTTAATAATATAAACCAAATAATAATTAATAATGAATATTTTGAATAATGAATAATGAATAATGAATATTCAATAATGAATAATCAATAATCAATAATCAATAATAACTATAAAAATGAAAAATGAAAAAATTTATATATATGCGAGATGGTTGTGTAAGTGATTTATATTCGCGTACAAAGGAAGATTTTAACTAAATTTTTTTTGAGTTATTTACTAAGCTGTTTTTCGTGTATAAACTTTAAGTTATTAACATACGCGTAAAAAAAAAAAAAAAGGTGTATGTCGCGACAAAAATATTTCAATAAAGGGAAAGTTAAAAAGAATAATTTCAAAAAAAAAAATGAATTGTCAAGAAAACTAATTGATCAGGAGAGTAGATTATCACAATAGTAAAAGTATGCATAGAATCTTTTAAGCGAGATAATAAACGAATGATGCAAAGTTTCAGTTTTAAAACATTTTTGATCAACAAATATGCATGAAAGCAACATAGATTAAGAAATAATCATCGAATTTTAATTCGCGCAATGATTTTTTAAGTATATGTATTATTGTGTTGTTTATTGTATATATTATTGCTTCTATATATATCAATTTATGTAATATATGTATATCATTTGTATCTATATATCTCATTGCCTTATCTATTATCTGTTAGTATTTATTATTTATTATTATTTCATCCCACAATTCACAAAAAAACTTCTAATTGTAACTTTTCCACGTGTATTTCAAAACTACTTCAATCAGTAGGAACTTACCTGTCAGTAGTATTTAAAAGCTACTGTACAAGTAATTTTCTTTAATGATGAAAATACGGGAATTTTCTGATTTCAATGATTATAGGAAACCCGTAGTTTAGCGACAGCAAAATTTCTGAACCAATTTGATTGAAGTAAAATTATTTTTTTTTTTAAAAAAAAAATAGATTGTATAAAATTGTATAATTGTGGGTTTGATTGCGGCGCAGTAAGTGATATAACAAAATAAAATATTTAAATTATTTCAAATTATTTAAAATTATTATTATTATTAATTTTTAATATTAAAATTATTATTATTATTATTATTATTATTAATGTTAATGTTAAAATTAAAATAAATGAATAATATTTTAATAAAGAAATTAAAAAAATGATTTATTTTTAATGTATGTTTTTACATGTTTTCCCTCTTTATATAAAATATAAATCTAAAGAAGAGGAAATCAGAGAATTCTGGATGTTCATTTTTATTTTCTATTGAAAAAAAAAATACTGTTACATAAATTTATAATTTTATGATTTAAAATGTTAACACTGGGGTATCACCAGTATCACCATCAAATCCTATTCCTTTTACACGCTTTTTTCTAGTCCACGCTCCATCTCCATACAATCCATCCCATTTCCTTAATTCTGTCAAACTTGTCATATCTTCAGAGCAAGATGGTGTCACCTGTTTGAGTGCTAGTTCAAAATGATGTTTTTTCAAAACTCTAACTAATGGAGGTTTATCAACATTATTTTTCACAATTCCTTTAACAATCGTACTTTTCCCACCATCATTTGTTGTCTCTTTTTCTGCATCTTCTCTAACTGCTGCGAGTGCGGCACTTATACATAAGTTCTTCAAATCTGATCCAGAATAAAGTTTAGTTATTTTGGCTACTTCTGATAAATTTATTACCGGTTCAAGCTTTTCATCACGAAGATGTAAGTGAAGAATTTGTTCTCGATCCTTTTCATTGGGCAAATCAACTAAAAAAAAAGTTTATTATTATTATTATTTTTTAGAATAAAAATCATATATCGTAAAAAAATTTATATAAATTATAAGATATGACATACCTAATATTCGTCTTGGCATTCTCCTTAAAATTGCATCATCTAAGTCAAATGGACGGTTAGTCGCCCCCATAATCAATACTCCTTCATTTTTAGATGTTAATCCATCCCATTCGGCCATAAATTGATTGATGATCTCTCGATGTGCTCCATTATGTATATCTGAACGTCTGGAACCAAAGATTGCATCAAGTTCATCTAAAAATATCACGCATGGTGACAATTTACGTGCCAGAGAAAATATTGCCTAACATAAAATAAAAATAAATAAATAAATATATATATATGTACATTATATATACATTGTAAGGTAAGAGAGAGAAAGAGAGAGAGAGAGAGAGAGAGAGAGAAAGAGAAGATAATTTTGAATCGAAATTTTGATATGAATATCTTGGATTGTAATCCATACCCTAACATTCTTCTCACCTTCACCAACATACATATCGTACACATCACTGGATTTGATCTCAATCACTGTGCTACCGCTTTCTTTTGCCACTGCCTTCGCCAACATAGTTTTACCAGTTCCTGGTGGACCAAACAATAACACCCCAGAGATGAAATGTTTACGTAAAACACCATAAGAAAATGATTGTGGTCGCATTAAAGGTAAAGTGATTAATGTTTGAAGAGTCTGAACAGTTGATTGAGCCACATGTATATCAGTGAATCCTATATGTATATTTTCTAGTAATAATAAAATATGTGATGAACCATTTTAGTATTTTCAGTATCTAAAAAAATTATAAACAAATATATAAATTTACCTGGATCTACCACACACCCCAATAATTTTTTCTCATACTTATCAAGATCTTCCTTTTTCAAATTTTTACGATTTGGCAAACTTACTTTACCATCTCCAAGACCCACAATGCTAACCAATTTTTCGGGTCCTTTACTTCCCGGTTCATTACTAGTCGTAGCTGACTCAACAAAATCTTTCCGTAGTTTTTGATTAATTTTCAAAGTTTGTGCTGCTTGGATAAAATGTTCTACGTCCAAATATATAGGTCCATTTAAAGATGAAATCTCTTGATTTTCAATAGATATACCAATCGCGTTAATAACAAGTCTATGAATACGTTCAAATCCCCAAACTTCATTATCCAACCCTTCCAATGACATTAAAAGTTTCCCAAGTTCTCTTATATTATTAATCTTAAAATATGCTCCTTTGCTTGCACAGACCGCTTTTAAAGTACGTACATTAATGTGTCTTATGGAAATATTTTTATCCTCTGAAATCATGGTTTGTAATAGTTGTGTTAATTTAGGCGATGATGGAGGAGGGATTGCAATATGTGTGAATGCTGCGAGCATTGCTGGATTAGGAAATATTTCAACGCTAACCCATTGAAGTTCATGCGATGGGACACTGTTGTTAGGGGGCGACTTCTTTTCCATAGCAAATAATGATGGAGAATAACCAGCGATTATCATTATTTGATCCCCTAGGTATCGCTGATTTTGCACAGCGTCAACAAGACCATTGATTAATGCAGTTCCAAATGTAGTTGGAACCAAATCACCTACATCTCGAAAATAAATGATCTTTGGTGGGGTTGAACCGGAAGGTGTAATGTGAGGAGAAGTCGAAACTAAAGCTTCAAAGAATCGATCGATTTTTTCAAGTACGACTTTCATCTCCGTACGTATTGATCCGTTTGCTTGAGATGAATTGTATTGAAAATTGTCAACTAAATTTTTATTTTCATAACCAGAATTACGGGAAATTGTAGATGATGAATCGAAACCTTCATCATCGTCTATAAACACATCATCATCCATCTCATCTTCTGAGGAAAAGGATGAAGTTGTAGAGTACGGTGACGCGGAAATATAAGGGTTAAATCCTTTCAATTCTGGAAATAGAGGCCACGGGGTAACTGTTTAATTTTAAAATGAGAGAGAGAGATATATATATTTTGATTAAATTTGTAATATACTGTTTTTGAATGCGATGAGTTTTCAAATTAAATCTCATTATTACCCTTTCGTGAAAACATGCTTGCCGTAAGTTCCATTAAATCCTGACGATCAAAAGTTAGTAAATCAGCACGTAAAGATGTAGCAACACTTTTTACTACGGAATCCAAATAATGTGATGCGCCTTCAATCGGACAATTTAATAATAGATGACCACGTCGTGGAGGCGCTCCATCTGATTTTGGAATAGGTAATAAATTTGCACGTGCACTATATAAAATTTCATCACGTATTCCATCCTCCAATGGATAAGTCAATGATGCAAAAGAATTGGTATTTTCTTTATATGACAAATAATTTTCTCTCAAAAACATTTGAGGGATTACGGGTTTATAGGGGTTAGTAGGTTTTGTTGCACGAGTACGGGAACGAGACGCTGCACGCTTTCGCCTTGGAGACCTCAAGATATATTCTGCAACATGTTCCGTATCAGAAGATTGTTGATTTTCTTCTGAAATCTGTTCGTTTTCAATCTCTTCTTGTGAAGGTGAGGAAGGTTGTGCATCTTTAGCTGTACTTGAATTGGAAGGAAACTTATTATTATTATCTTTTACAGGTTTCAGTGGAGAACTGTTACTATTAGGCAAATCGTTTGGCGTGTTTGCGAAGGATCTTATGGTAGTACTATTGAACTGTCGAATGTTTGATACACGTGTACGAAACTTGAAGTGATATATTTTCTTCGTTCTTATCTTTATAAAAGTACGCGCTGACGCTTTCACTGCTAGATTTCCCAACATTGTTGTTGAGTCTTCTAAAAATTAACTTTTAGCATGACAGAAGTTCCCTTTTGATGATCTCGTTACACAAAAATTTTATATATCAAATATAAATATGATTTTACAATTGAAATGATCAGAGATTAAATAATTTATTACACTATGCTATACACGTTTAATCCCAAAATACATTAAATCAAATACCCAATTTAATCAAATTCAATAACTGTATAATTTATCCACTATTAGCATGTTGCATTTCTTCATCAATTAACAAAAATTTATAGTAACTTATATGAATATAATTACTTTGGAACATTTTATTAGCTATAATCATATAGATTATATATTGTACACAAACAACTTAAAATTACTTAACATTTTGATTCAAATAAGCCACTTTCTTTTTCAAATTAGTGTTTGGAACCAGCTCCAAAAAGCAAACCGGATACGTAGATTTCGTCAAAATCGATTATGACCCTTCACTTGATTTCATCTGTAAACTGGATGAAATAGGTTTAGCTAATTTCACCCGAAACAAATGATAATTCCAGCTGGCATTAAAGATCAAATGATCTAAGATTAATCATCTGATCTTTAATGCCAGCTGGAATTATCATTTATAAAAATTAAAAAAGTTGCATGAGTAAATATGTTAATTAAAATAAGGAAATGAAGAAAATCTTATTTTGGATAAAATAAATATTATATAGTTAAATAAATTAATTAAATATTATTTAATTTATTTAATTAAAGAAATTAATAAACCTATGCCAAAAATAATTTGGACATGTGTACTGTTGATCACACATTGTTCAAAAGTATTTTGATCTTAGCCAATCATAATATATGTCGATCATAAGGTACTTAACCAGAGAGTTCTTATCCTAGACCCTCATGTGACATTATGTTAAATACATGGGTAGGGTTGGTTTGTCAGGGTAGGATATTCATCACCATGTATCTAACCTACATAAAATTTCACGTGAACCTTTTTTGATCACCTGTCACATTATAAACCAATCAAATTCGAAAATCATGGGTGTTTAGAAAAAAAATACTAAACCCGGGTCTAGGTTAAGGATGCTTATGGCACACTATATAAATAAAGTAACCATCACATGATAAATACAGTTACAGAACAGGATTATCAAAAATAATCCCTAGTCTATCAAAAATGAAACTTTTACCAGACATGAATTCAATCAATATAATTATTGTCATATAGAAATAGTATTTTTATTATGATATATATATATATATATAATTTTTGACAAATAAATTTATTGTTTACATTAAAGTTACTTTTGGTTAACGGATATATTTAAATTTTGTAAATTATGCGTCGCTCTTAATTGTTGTGAAGAATTCCATCCTCGAGATGAATTACTCCCAAATACTACTCCAACATCGTCATCATCGCTGTCAATCGTGTCTATAATCTCTATATTATCTTTACTAATTGTTTCTAACCCATCATATCCAAAAGGATCACTTGAAACAACATTGACATATTGTTTACAATTCTGATCATTCTGTATAGTCAGTGAATTATTATTATAAATTTTATCTTCAACAATTTTATTATTCATTAATTCTTCATTGTCTGATCCTTCATCTGGTGTAAACACCCAACTCTGATTTAAACTACTATGAGAATGATTACTTCGCCTTTTCATTTTGAGCTGTCGAGATCCTGATCGAGGAAGGTAAACATCTTGTCGATCCCAAACTTGTGAATTTGGCGCAATTGTAGAATGTGATGATGATGATGACGACAAAGAAGGATCGGTTTCTTCTACTACAAAGTTTTCAAAATCCTTTTGCTTTTGTCGAGCATATGTTTCAGGGAAACTTGACCCATACAAGCTTACGGGTCGTTGATGAGAAATTTGTAAAGTTTGTTGTGATTCAGGTCTTCGAATACTAATAGGTGATGCATGAGTCAGTGAACTATCTGTAGATCCTAGGAAGATCATTAATTTAAATATATAGAAAAATGAAAATTTTATTATTATTATTATTTTTAAGCATTATAAATAAACGTCAAATATCAAGAGATGGAATACCCGGAGATGATGTAGATGAAACGGATTTTGAACGTCGTCGAAGATTGTCTAAAGTCATATTTCCTAAAGACATGGATATTTTGCGTATCTTCTTTTTTAGGCGATCCTATTTAATGCAAATAAAAAGAATTCTAACGCTCAAAAAACTTGAAATCATAATAATTTATGAATAAAAAGAGTCGTACAATTATTGTATAGGCGCTCTTAACTTCTTCATCAGTTACTGTCAAGAATTGATATTTCATTGGATCAGTTTCCTCTCGCCATTTCTGCGGATTTGGTAAATCTACGATTACCCATGGATGTTTCTGGAATTATCATTATTTTCGATATTATCATTATTTTCGATATTTTATATTATTTAAATCACCTTTTCAAAAGATTAAAAATACCTTTACTAATTCTAAGGTTATTCTTTTTTGCGGGTCCTTTTCTAATAACTTTAATAGTAAATCTTTTAAATCATCATCAATAGGTCTATCACTGGGAAATTCCGGTTCTTGATGAGGAATAACATGAAAAAATAATTCAAATTCAGTATCCGCTATGAAAGGACATCGACCAAAAATGAAACAATATAATGTAACACCAAGAGCCCAAACGTCGATAGCTTTAGTGATGGGAGGTCGTTGTGTACGTACGGGCATAAAACGAGAGTTGGATCTTGAAAGAGGTTTGGATGAATAATTATTCTTTGAACTTAGACTGGTTGTAGTGACTGATTTCAAGTCTTTTGAGAAGTCACCTAAAAGATAAAATTGTTCAATGATGATTTTTCAGTCAACAAAAAAAAAATATATATATATATTTTATATTTGAGTCGATGAATACCCGGAAGACATAGTTCTGGAGCAAAGAAAGCCGGACTTCCTGCAGTTTTGACCAGATCCATATCTTGTGCAGGATTATTTTTATCTGGCATGGAACGTTGACTAAAATGTGACACGCCAAAATCAGAGATTTTAACAACTTGATCGGCTGTGAGCAACAAATTCGCAGGTTTAATATCGCGATGTATAATTCCTTGATGATGTACTATTAAACAAAAACAAGAGAGAAATAAAAAAATAAGAATTTATATAATAAATATAGTAAATCTAGGAATAAGCAATTATACAAAGATCACTCACGATATTCCAAACCCAGCACCACATCCCTAAAAATTTCCCTTGCCTTATCAATACTCATAATAGGATTATCATGGTCATCTTTCCATTGTATTTCACCACCCTCCATATATTCTATGACTAATAATTTTTTAATAAAAAAAATTTTTTTTTTTTTATGATTGGAATAAATCAATGTTAAAGTGGAATATAAATTTGCTAAGAGCCATAACCTGCAACCTAAAGTATTTATTACAAACCCACTATAATCTTGCCTAAGGTGTTTCGATCCAATAAACTAACATACCCAAATAAATTTTTCGACTCATTGGGTCGTCTATAACTTCTTTCAATCTGACGACATGTGGATGAACACATTTCTTTAGTATCGCGATTTCTTTTCTGATTTTTTGTTCGTTTGTAAGGTCATTGTTACGTGAACCTAATCGACGACGTGTTACTCGATCAACAATTTTAATTGCCTTAACGAATTCAAAAAATAATTCCAATTAAAATTATTACTATTATTATTATTATTACTATTATTATTATTAGTGGTGTAAAATATCTACAATTTATAAGAATGTTGCCACAAAATGGTTTTAACGACCATTACCGCTTTGATAAAATTTCGATAAAACTTTGATAAAACTTTTTTTTTAAAAAAAAAAAGTACTCACAACCCATTCTCCCGATTCCAAATTCTGCCCTAATTTGACTTTTCCATGTACACCTCTACCTAATTCTTTAACTAACATATATTTATTAATTATTTTATTCCCTGTTGCGAGATCGTAATCTTTGTACATTTTATGTGTTTCTTTTACTTCTAATGTTGGTGTTTTTTTGTGTCGATGACTGAATATATTGTTTTTATTGCTTTGTTCAAAATGATGACGATTATGATTATTGTTATTTGTATTTGATCCAAGAAATGAAAAAAATGATTTAGATTTGTTTAATTCTTTATATGGATTTGAAGGAATTGATATATTAGATTCTGATGATTGATTATGATTAGAATCTTTGTAAAATTCCAAATTAGAAGAATGTCTTGTTAATGTTACATGACTTTGATTAGAATTTTGTGATAATGGATTATTCTCGGGAACATCATTTTCACTCCAAGAACGAACTGTATGTTTGGGATTACGTAAGCCTTTGAAACTAAGTCTCAGGCGTTTCTTTTTTTCAGCCGAAATTGAGGGTGATAAAAATTTTTTTTCTTTGAAAGAACCTCGCTTATGAATTTCAGGATCAGAATTTCCCATTTCCGAAGATATATTAACACCTTGATGCCCTTGATATGAATCTTCTCCTATACCACTAGACTCTGAACTATTATTTTCAATTTTTGATTGACTTGAAGATGAATTATGAATTCCTCTTCTTAAATAACGTCTTTCTATGGTAGGATTTTCAAAACCGACGGGATTATCTGAATGATTAAATTGGGAATTCATTATTGTGGTAGATAAATCTGTTTGATTATATCTGATCGTCGACGGGATAACAGAGGCACTTGCCCGACGCGCAAATAAATTAACGTGAGTAGGCGACGGATAAGATAAAGAGGAAGCAGAATCCGGTATTTTGGTATTTTTTGAATCTTGATTTTCTCGATTTTCTCGTGGAAACATAATTCTCAAGTAATAATATATTAAATAATATTAAATTATATTAAATGATATTTTGCTTTTTTTTTATTTCTCGAAAATAAATTTTAGAAAAAAAATTTTTTTTTTTTTTTTTTTGTTAAATTTCAATTTTATGAATTAATAAATACAATAAATGAATAATATAATTACTTTCCAAAGTGTATAACTTTTAAAAATGAATTAGAAATATGAATTCTTTAATGAAAAATTAAAAAACAGTCAAAAAAAAAAAAGCGAAAAAGCTTGAACGCCCTAATACCTCACGAGTTAGTTTAGTAAAGTAATCACAAAAAATTTCGTCTTTAACTAAATCAAGTACGGAATTTTTCCTCGTGAAATTGAGCTTTTTTGTAAAATCGTAACACCTCACATCTATACATCATTGGAACACCCTGATGTAATCACATGTTCGATAAAAATATAAGCACCAATCAAGTATATAAAGGAGGGGGAGATAAATTCTAAACTGTCAAACTTTTTGTAATGGAACCACCAATTGTTTATTATCCACGTATAGAATATATCGAGACAGTAAAGCCAAATAGTTATTATTGTGATTAACTTTTTGGAATTTACAAATACTTATTCAGTACGAATTCTTTTTAACAAAAGGATACAGGCAATAAAGTTAGTCGCAAGTCAGTAATATGTGGAAGTCAAAATATCATACTTGGTGGAAAGGTATTTATGATATATGAGATGAGATGTTATTATTAAATAAGGGAAATAAGGGATCACAATGATAAACACATAAGAAATAGCATTGATTGATTATTTTCATTTTTTTTAGACAATTATTCAAACTGACTGTGTTATTCGAGGAGATTTGAGACGTACCGGAGGAGGTCACGCAGTAGTTGTCGCTATTGGGAGATATTGTCTTTTATCCAAAGGGAGTATTATTCGACCTCCCTACAAGACTTATAAAGGGTTTGAATATAAATCTTTATATTTGATTTTTTTGATTTGATTTTTTTGACTTATATTTTTTTTTATATTTTTTATTTTGATATCAATTAAAAAATGGATTACTTTATATAGGATTTTTAGTTATTATCCTATGAAAATAGGCGATCATGTATCAATCGGAGAAGGTAGCATTGTAGAAGCAGCTACAATTGGCTCGTTTGTGCATATAGGAAAGAATTGTGTAATTGTAAGTTTTATATATGTAAAGCTTTAAATGTGATAATTTGGTGATAATTTGGTGATTATTTGGTGATAATTTGTGATAACTTGTGATTATTTAGGGACGTTTTGCAATAATTAAAGATTGTTGTAGAATTGAAGATAATACAGTGATACCACCAAATACAGTTGTTCCTTCATTTTCAATCTATGATGGATCTCCTGGTAGGAAATAATTAAATTTTTGAAACATATTTATTTTTAAAATAAAAATTCTAATTAAATTAAATTTTATGTTTGTAATTTCTTCAGGTGTCTTTGTAGATGAATTACCAGAATGTGTTCAAGATCTTTATGAAACTAAAACTAAAGAATATTATACCAAATTTCAACCTAAGGATTAAAATGGATTTTATGATCTATGAGAAAAATAGTTGATTATATTTTCATAATAGAATATCCAGATTTTCTAAGAAATTCATCAATATTTATTTATTTGTTAATTTATTTCTTCATATATCTTTGCATAAGTATCCTTGCATTAATGTTTATTTTATTTTATTTTTTTTTAATAATTTATTTGCATTAAATTTTTTAATGTAATTTTATCCATGATAAATATTTTATTTTTATTTTTTGAATAAAATTATACAAATTATTCTTTGTACATTTCAAATTATTTTTAATTATTTATTCAAAAATAATAATAATAATAATAATAATAAATTATTGAACTTTAGATTCTAGTTCAGCCCATTCTGTAGAAGTTAAAATATTTTTATGTTTTTTCTTAATTTCCGGAAGAATAATTCTAAGTTCATTAATTTCATCTTTAGAGAAAAGAGAAGTTTCCTTGAATTCTAAAAGAAAAATCTTAAGTATCTTTATAAATACATAAAAAAAAAAATTTTTGAATTAAGACCATTAAACATAGTTCACCCATAAATCCTAGAGAACACAGAAAACATATCACCTTATCGGCTAAATCTTCATCTTCTGCATAGAATTTACCCAATAATTTGATAATTTGTTTGTTAAATGGTTTATCTTTAATTTGCGTTATTATAGCATTCTTATTTTGAGTAAGTAATGATGTTAAAAGAAACACAACTTTACGAAATATATTGAGATCTAGATTTTTCAAATTTTGTTAACATTTCTCATATTTTCCATGGTTTTCATATATTTACATTTCTCTCCAACATACCATCTGAAGTCTCTAATAATGATAATAAAGTATCATAACCACCTTCCTTTTCAAATTGTGTCAATCCAGGTTCACAATGTTGAATGGCTCCTTTATTATCAATAAAAAAAATATATATATATAAAAAATAAAAAAGAATGAGATAAAAAATTACGAATTGAAGTTATTTAATTTCATAACTTACCCGAAACTGCATATAATGCCTTACTTCTTATCTCGTTCTCTTCATTAGAATCTTTTAATATTTTTAATATAATTTTTAATCCCCCTTTTTCTACAAACTATATATTTATTATTATTATATTATTATTTAATAATGATAATAACATTTAAATGATATAACTATTTTTGAAATCACATACAGCCTTTTGTGTTTGAGAATTATTTTGAACAGCAGTACCGCATACCCAAATAGCATATTTTCGAAGTGAAACTTCGGAAAATGAAAGAAACGAAATAATTTGTGGCCATAAATTCATTTTTTCGATGTCTACAAAATTAAATTAACAAATAATTAGAAACATTCTACAGTTTTAATTTATTAGTATATATATATATATTAATACCTACTCATCGCGTTATCGATTTGTTCTACAAGCTCCATGAATAGATCAAGAACAGATCAGAGAATAGATCAAAGAATAGAATGGATCAAATAGTAAATTTTAATAATTATGAATGAATGGAATATTTCGATAACGTTATTTATAAATACCAATTCCAAATTATCGAATGCGATTTCTTTATTTTCCAATGTTTCATTTGGGTTTGATATAACACCAACAGCCTCTTTCCTCAATAAATTAAAATTTTGACTTAGTAACTTAACAGGAGAAATATTTGAAGTATTAGAAATATTGATAATTCGTTTAGTACCTCTCATTTGTTCAGCATCGCTTTTCCCCATAATATAATTAAGTATCTCCGAATCCTACAACAAATGTGTAATTCGTGTTATTGCATTCGAAATAAAGTAATAAAGGATTAAAGAGATACTTTACTATATTACTAGGATTACTAGGATTATTAGGAGGAGGAGGGTTCCCCTCTCCCCCTATTTCATTGTTTGAAGGAGTCCTATTTGCATTTTCTATCGCCCATTGAAGTAATTTTTTTTCCATTTTTTTATTTTTTTATTATAGTAAGTAGCGTGATAAAATGTTTTAATCGCATTAATCGCGTGATTTGATATAAAAATTATCTGATGAGGTAAAAATTACGTTTTTTAAAAAAAATTAATGAGTGTCTTTAAAAATGGGCCCTGGGTCTAGACTTTTATCCTATACCTATATTGATATAATAAATTTTTTAAAGTAGATAACACGTGATAAATACAGTTGGGCCTAGGTTAAAGAGTGTACCCAGATCTTAGATAAATTTATCCCTAATTAAATTTAGGGTTTGAGATTTTAAATAATAGATACAAATTTATTTGTATAACTTTGTATAACTGAATATATACCTACACTAAATTTCACGTCCTAATACCCGCGAATTTTCAAATAAATAGAAAAATTAGATTATATATTACGTGACTAAATATTATAACGGATTTAAGAGTCCTTTTATCCTGATACCCTATATAAATAATTTTTTTTAAAGTAGTTAATACGTGATAAATACAATTATGATCTAGGTTAAGAGTGTAGACCCGGATCTGGATAAATTTATCCTTTTTAATAAGAAATATAAATATATGTAGTTACTCTAAACGTAGAAATCATGTGATCCGAATAATTTCTCTAAAAATATGATATCTAACTTATTATATCTATATTCATTAAAAAATATTCATAAAAACAATGCGTCATCGAAAAGATAAAAAACACCACCTAACTACATAAAGACTAAAAATTTTTTATTAAATAATGATTATAAAATTAAATACAAGTACAGAGTTTTTTTTTTTACATTTACACAAGATATTATTCAACTAATATATTTGACCTATTCTTGATTAGCATCTATGAAATTGAATATTTGCAGGAATATTTTTTCATTTGTTTCAATGTCTGTGGAGAAGATTAAAAGAAAATCGAGACTTATATAGACCTTTAAATTTATCTTTTATTATTATATTATCATTATATTATAGAGAGATGTTTTTAAAAAAAATAATAATAATAAATTGATTAAAAATATTCAAAATATTTATATTTAGAGAGAAGACAGTATAAATATTGTAAAATATTATGTATATTGTGATTATAAAGATTGAAGTCTAACTGTATTAATTTTAATTTAAATATTTATATAAATATATTCTGCAATTAAAATTGTTTTATAAATACATATATATAAACACAATATATTTTAAAACAATTAAATCATCAAGTTGCAGGTTGATTTTAACTTTATTAGTAAAATTACAGTTCTGAAAATAAACATTGTTTAATTATTGAGAGAAATCTTTCAATTGTTCATTGAATTAGCCCAAAAGAAATTCCGATGCTTCCCAAAAAATTTTTTTTTTCTCATGAAATAAAATTTGGAAATTCGGGAAAAATTGAAAAGTAAAAAAAAAAAAAATTATTTTATTTATCCATTATTTACCATTGGATTTACTTTTATGGATTTGTTATCCTAAAGAATGTGTAATAAATAATTAAGAAATCATCCAACAAAACATTTAAATTTGTTTTAACGCGACACAGTATGAAACTCCATTGTATACATGTGAACCAAACACAGACTAACGAAAAGAACAAGTTTATTCAGGTACGATGATGAAAACGCATCGATAATCGCACATGGGTTAATATTTAAAAAAGGAAAAATGTTTTATTGCCTTTAGGTTTCACTCATTTTTCTTAACCGTTTGTCTCGAACCGAAAAAAAAAAATTTTTTTTTTTTTCAACCGAAAGCTTAGTATTAGAGGAAAATTAAAATGATAATGATGATTTAATAGATAAAAGGTGACACATAGTTAAAAGTTGGATATCTCAATGCATGCATAAGGTAGATAAGAACAATTCAATGAAACAACAATACAAATATGTTGAGCATTTGCTTCTGCATCAACTTATGACATTGATTTTACTGTCATCTCGTGTGTGTTCAAAAATTTTGCATTTATAATCTATAATGGATAATATTTATATCACATCCATTTTATTATCAAATGTCATTCATATAATTTAAGAAAATTATCCGTAGATAAATTGTAGATAGTAAGTAATTGGGAATGATAAAAATTTAAGTTTGATTTTTAAAAATAAACGGATCTTAACTCTCCGTTTCCATAACCATAATTCCCCCTCTTCATCATTACGAATCCATTACAATTTTAGATAATTTTACTGATGAGCAGTATAAAATACTAATAAGGCAAATGTATAATATAAATAAGCTGTATATATTAAGCTAAGCTAAAATATGATGCAATAATAAATATTAAATAAGCAGTAGATTTATAAGCTAATGATAAATAAATATGTTAATATTTGGGGGTCACTCAAAATAATCATAATAATGTCAACTGTTCAATGAATAATCAATGATGATAAAATATTTAATATATTTTAATATATATTTCGTCTCTTCAAAGAGTGATCCGTGCTACTGCGGATGAGCGGGGAAAAATATTGCACAAAAAAAGTGAATATGCATTAATGTACAACATATGTAGTGATTATTGAGAAAATAAAAGAAAATAAAACTTAAAATATTTGCCAAATATTTATATTTGTGCATGGAACCAAACTATGAAATGACTATGAGAGGTGCAAAATGTATACAAAAATTTTTTTACTCCTGCAAGTGTTGGTCGTAAATGTCACCTATCTATCTTTAAAATTATTTATTATAAATGATAGTTCCACTTTTGTACTTATTATAAATTTTTTATATTCTTTAATTTTAATAAATTAATATAATTAAAAAGTTATTTATTTATTTTCCAAAATTCTAGTAAATATTTGATATATCTATTATACCTAACCTTCTTAATCCTTACCCCTGGTAAACATTCCCTGATTTGATGAAATTATCGTTTTTTTAAAATACCCTTTTTTTTTTCTTGGTCCCCGTTTTTATTATATTTACCCCACCATTTTTCTGCTGACTCAGTTTCTTCCTCTCTCTCTTAACTTTCAACCATACAAAATTTTTTAGTACTAAATAGACTTATTATATACAACCGCTTGTTTGCTTTGATAGCAATCAACGTAAACCTTGGATACTAAACACTGTTTCTATATCTCGTAGACAAACTTGTTAATAAAAATTATAAAGTATATAAATATAAAATTTTTTATATCTTTACAAGTTTCCAATTAGGTTTTCTTTAAACAAAGAACTTAAACCAAAATACTATTTTTTTTTATCATCCTCAAAGAAATTACTGTAAAGGGAAACATACTCAGTATGTATTCTTTGTCTCCTTTTTTTTTTTTGTTTGTTATTTTTTTTTTCTAGCTTAATATTTTTCCACTTTGGGTTCTTCTCTTCCCGCTCAAAATATTTAGTATAACCTAACCTATTTTATTTTTTATTATACTTTTATAATTATTATTATTATAATATAATAATTATTATATTTTATATTTATCTAATAATAAAGCAGTTTAAAAAACACAATGAACAACTTAGATTATTTCAAACAAGAACAGGAAGAAGTTACTTGTTGGTCCTCCTCTTCACCTTCGGAGGCATCTATTCCACATTCTCCTTCTGACCCCGACTTTAACGTTTATCACGTGCCTAGAGGATTTGACGTTGTCTTAGTTCCTATGAAGTTTGAAGAACAATCAGAAATCAATACTCAAAATGCCAATTCATCTACTCCTCTTAACCAATCAACGACAGATGTTTCAAATACCACTACCTTTTCATCCACAACTAAACCTGTTGACATACCAAAAGCAAAAACCCAATCATCATCATCATCGTCGTCAACATCATCAACATCATCATCATCATCATCATCATCATCATCATCATCATCATCATCATCATCATCATCCACAGATGCTAAAGGATTAACTGCAAATTCCACAACCACTACACGTTTATCGGCTTATCGTAAACGTAAGGCTGATAAAAATTATATTCCCCGACCTAAAAATTGTTTCATGGCATATCGTGAACATATAAAGGAAAAATTTTTAGCCGAAAACCCTGGAATGAACAATAAAGTTGTATCAGTACTTGCTGCTAACATGTGGAATAATGAACCTGAAGATATTAAAGAATACTGGAGAGAACGTGCAAAACAACTTAAGCAAGAACACAAATTAAAATATCCCGATTATAAATTCAAACCTCAAAAGAAAAAGCAAAACTTAAAAACTCCTGGTGGAACAAAATCAACAACAAAAGTGAATGGTCGTAATAAGAAGACTACTACAGATTCTAAAATCATTTTTGCTGATGGTTACGGTTCAGAATTATTAGTTGATAGTGATGATGGTAAACACATTTATGATGGGAAACATATTTATCCAATGGGATTGGAAGGTGGTGAAGATCAAGAGGAAATTTATTTAACACATATACAAAAGAAAGCACTTTTTGGTCATTATCGAGCTTCATCTGTAGATTCTGTTAGTTCTTGGACAAGTGATTCCTCAACATCTACTCCATTACTTTCACCTTTTGTCGGATCACCTGCTTCATTTTCTCCTCCTCATTTAGGAAGATCATCCGCATTACGATATGAAGCTGGTCATACTCCCAATACCGAAAATCCTCAAGGCAATTTGATGTTATCTACTCATAATAATAATTTGTCTTCTTCTTCACCACAACAGCAACAAACAATGTTTAACGATGTAGAACAGTTGAATCATTTATATAATAATCAATTGGATATTAATGCTCGTGCAACTTTACCTGTTGATGACGGATTTGTTCTTGATTCATCATCATATGAATGTCCATCAACATCTCCTCCACCATTCTTTAATTGTTCCTCACCATCAGGTGAAATGTCATCAACTGATTATGAATTGATGGCTATGGGACATTATACTTCTTCACCATTAGAAGAAGAGGAAGGATTTTTCCGTGATTATGATTCTGCTGAGCCTACTACTGCTTATCATCAAAATGTATTTAATTCTTCATTTGACCTTTCAGAAACATCACCATCACTTTCACAGCATTATGCGCTTGCTCTTGAAACTCCTCGACGAAATTCTCAACAACTTTTGGCTGATTTCCAACATGGCCTTAAACAACAAGAAATGATGTTACAAGAATTGTTATAAATTACTGTTATCATCGTCATTTCTATTTCTTTGGATTTCGTTGGCTTTATCAACTTCCTAGTCTTCCTCTCTTCTCTTGTCTACATTCGTTACATTGTTTTTATTATCTTCATTGTTGTTTGTGATCACAATAGAAATATAATCAGGTTTTGTGAAATAATAGAAATATAATTAGGTGTCTTGTGTATAAATTGAAAATTGTGCGGACCGATGAAAAAAGATAATTTTCCAAAGGTCCTTGGACACTATTATTACGTCAAAAAATCAGTTTTGTTATCGTGTATTGTCTTCCTGTATTATTTAACATTTTCCTTCCCTTCCCCTTTCAAATATACATATTTCGTTTTCATTGTGTTTATAAATCAATATCCCTTCTTACATATATATATATATATATATATATATATAATATACATAGAACATCTTGCATTTTCTTTATAGACTTATATACCATAGAATTTCGAAGTTCAAATATTTTGAATCATCACAGGAAAATGATATATTATTATTATTATAATTATTTCTCTGTGATTGATTTTTTGTATTTGTATTTCGAACAACATAGACTGCCAAACTTGTATATTTTCTTTCTTTCCTTTTATTTTTTAATTGTTTAAATAGACTGGCAGAAAGCAAACTATTGTCCTTGTGATAGGAACGTTTGTTGTACATTTTTCTCTTTACATACTTTTTTTTCTCTCCTTTTTTTTTTTTTTACTTTCCTCTTAACCCTTGTTTTAAATTCAAAAAAAAAATTATATAAATAAATATCTTTTTTTTAGGTATCTATTACCCTAAATATTCCATTTTATTATTCTTTATTTTTTATACCTATTCTTCTCTTTACTGTTTATGGAACCTAAAAATAAATACCATTATTATACCACTATTCTTTCCAAATATTAAAAATTATGAAAAAAAAAACAAAAAAAAAAAAATTCCGATATTCCATATATCTTCTTAAATATATTTACAATTTATTTTCCTACTTTCATTTTTATCCATCTCTACTTACCTGTTCTCTTCTTATTCTCTTTTTTTCTATATTCATTTCTTAAGTTTTATCTAATCAAAAACCGTCTTATGCGATATATATATATATTACTTTTTTTTTTTTTTTATCTCCTGAATTTGTCTTTTTTTTCTTATTTCAATGCAATCCTTAAATCCTCAAAGTTTTGTGAAGGCATATTTTTATGTAATTAAAATTTTTTATATATTATTTGCTGTTCTTGGGGGGGGTTTCTTATTATTGAATTTTGATCTTTCTATATATATATATTTTTTTTCCATTTCTTTCTTTTTTTTCATTTCTTTCTTTCTTTTTTTTTCTTACTTTTTTTTTCATTTTTTTTTCATTTTTTCATTTTTCATCTTTCTTTCTTTATTTTGTTTCAATCCTTCATTTTTTTTTTTTGTGTTTTTTATTATACAGATATATATTACATATATTTAAATTTTGATTGAGCACAAAAAAAATATTTTTTTTTCTCTACTCCTTTGTTAGTATATTTTATACCAATACGATATAACATATATATAAATAAAAACAAAAAAAAAATCTAAGTTTTTGGAAGGAAGGTCAGAGTTCCTTCGTTATTTTAAAAAATTTATTTACACCGAAATTAAATTTATTTACAATTGAGATAATTGAGATGGGTATACAATAAGCTTATCACTCATCAAGCCTTTTTTTTATTGTCAAAATAAATTATGTAACATAAATACATAATCAATAAAATTTTAACTAAGAAAACAATAAATGCTTTTTTTATAAAAAAAAAAATAATAATAATAATCTAACCCACTTAACGATACTATTAAGATCAAAAAAGGAGCTAATTATTTACATAATTAGATGTCTCGCTTTTGTTAAACTTCCAAATAGCAGAAATTAAATGTTATTTATGTGTTAATAAGATGGAAATTTCATTAATCTACATGTGACGAAAAAATGTGTTACAAAATTTTAACTGACTAATTACTCTGATGAACATGTGCCTAACGCTTAACTGATATGTTTAATGAGTAGAAATGCCCACAACTGAGAAACCAGAAAACGCACCAGAGCATTGTCCGGTAACATTTTAAATGCTTTTCTCTTATTATTATAATTTTTAGAAAGATTCAAATATTAAAAATATATATATATATATATATATATATATATAATAAATAGGGACCAAGTACTGAACAAGCTGGAAAAGCTTCAGCTTGTGAAGGTTGCCCAAACAAAAATATATGTGCAACTACTCCCAAAGGGCCTGATCCAGGTAAAATTGCTTAGAAGTTTCTTTTTTTTTCTTTCTTGTCATATATTTTTATAAAATTTTTCATTATTTTTTTTTCATTTCCTTTTGATTACTAGATTTACAACTTATTAAAGAAAAATTGAGCTCAGTCAAACATAAGATACTTGTGTTATCAGGTAAAGGAGGAGTTGGTAAAAGTACTTTCACCGCTCAACTTGGATTTGCCTTTTCTAGTGATGAAAACATTCAGGTAGCTTCTTTTTTTGATCTACTAATTTTACATAATTAATTAAATGTAAATAATTATATAATAAATAAATAATTTTTAGATTGGAGTAGTGGATATTGACGTATGTGGTCCATCAATTCCAAAAATAATGGGATTAGAGGGTGAACAAATTCATCAAAGTTTATCTGGATGGTCACCAGTTTATGTTCAAGATAATTTAGGTGTTATGTCAATTGGATTTATGTTACCTAACCCTGATGATGCTGTTATATGGCGTGGACCCAAAAAGAATGGTGAAATATTTATAATATCTTATTATTATTTTCATATTATTTTACATTATTATTAACTTTCAATTTAATAAATTTAATAAAAAAATTTAATTTTTTTTTTAAAATATGTTTATAATAGGAATGATTAAACAATTTTTAAAGGATGTAGATTGGGGTGAATTAGATTTCATGTTAATTGATACACCACCGGGTACTTCAGATGAACATTTATCAATTGCACAATTTCTTAAAGAAAGTGGAATTGATGGAGCAATTGTAATAACAACACCACAAGAAATATCATTACAAGATGTTAGAAAAGAAATAGATTTTTGCAAAAAGGTCAAAATTCCAATTTTAGGAGTTGTTGAAAATATGAGTGGATTTGTTTGTCCCAATTGTAAGGTAATATAATAATAGTATTTAATGCTTAATAAATTCATTTTTTCTTTATATTATTGATAATATATTAAATATATACACACACATTTTTATATAATATAGGAAGAATCAAAAATCTTTGCTCCAACAACAGGTGGAACAAAAAAAATGGCTGAAGATATGAAAGTAAAATATTTGGGATCAATTCCTTTGGATCCAAGAATTGGTAAAATTTCAAAATATTTATTTTGTTATTTATATTGTTTCTCATAACTTTTTTATTGATTGTATTTTTTTATTAGGAAAATCATGTGATATGGGAATATCATTTTTAGATGAATATCCTGATTCACCTGCTTGCAAAGCTTATTCAAATATTATTAAAAGTAATTATTATTATTATTATTATTATTATTATTATTTATTATATATTATTAATGTTTATTAATTTTATTTTATTATGATTATATAGAAATCAAACAGCATTTTACAGAAAAAGATTAAAATTAAAGTAATACAAATATATATTAAATATATTTTTATTTTATTGTATTTATAAAACTTTTTATTTTATTATTATAAACTTTAAATAATAAATCAATTGTCTTATGTCTTATGTGCGTGTCATTCATTGGTAATTTACAGTTTTTTTTTTTTTAAGGAGTTTAAAGTTCTTCCTCAAAAATAATATAAATAATATAAATGAATGCAAAGTGATGATGATCAGTCTCGTCTTAAATCTATCAAATCAATAATAAAGAATGCAAGTCTTGTTGTCTTATATTTACTTTAATATAATAATTTCAAATACAACTCTGTTATAATTATTTAAACTAATGCCATATGTCATAATTGATTACATCACTTTTTTTGGTATCACTAAATACAACAATACTAATATCTTTTGGTTTTCTCACACATTTATGACATTTATGACAGTTTATTATTGTACTTTCTCAGGAGGCCTTTATCATTATTCAACTTGAATTTCCTCAAAGTTGGTATTCCTTGAATAAAGCAATTTTAACCCTAAATTATTGTTAATTCTTTAAATCATTTAAATTAAAATGTATTATTTTTGAAAGAACAAAATACATTAATAAAAAAAATCTTCCTCTTTAATTATATTTTATTATAGTTTTTATTATACATTGATTAAATATTATATAATAAATAAAATTCTTATTACCTATCATTTATCTCACTAAAAATCTTTAAAATAAATTATCCAATGGCATGTAATCATAACACTACATTTGACATTGCAATTTTAGAACTTTAATAATAAAACTTATTAATACTAACTACTGCTATATCATTTCGACTATTCGGACATTTATCTTATGTAATCTAAATGAATCTTTTCTGCCGTTTCAGTAGATTCGGCGTTATATAATCTGAAATAAAAATTAGATGTTAATATTATATTACACGGTAATATATATAATATGTCTATACGTGTAACATTGAGTTGTTAATTTATCTATCCCCTAGATAATAAATAATTACATTTGGTACTGTACTACTATTCATTTTCGAAAACTCAAAATTTCAAAAAATGGTGAATTATGTGATTCAAACTAAAGCATATCTAAAGATTATTCTTCATGCTTGTAAACATCCTTTTTCTAATGTAAATGGAATCTTGCTGGCTGATACTTCAATAAATAATAATAATAATAAGAATAGTGATAATAATAATGAAAATGATAATAATGATGATAATGATGATAATAATCAAATAGCAATTGTGGATGCTGTTCCATTATTTCACCATTGGAATACTTTAACACCTATGTTGGAGATTGGATTACAACAGGTATTAAATATTTATTTCACGTTTTGGAAATTTAAAATAAATTTTTCATTTCAAATAATTTATTTTGTTTTTTTATTTCATCAACGAAATTTCAAAATAATATATTTTTATTTCATCAACGAAATTTCCAAATAATTTATTTTTATTTCTTCATCAAAGATTGACGTTTATGCCGAAAAAAATAATCTTAAAGTTATTGGATATTATCATGCCAATGAACGAGCTGATGATAATAGATTACCTCCATTTGGTCAAAAAATTGCTTCGAAAATATATGATAATTTTAATAATGCAATTGCATTTGTGGTAATATTTTATTTTATTATTTTTTTTATTAATTAACTAATTTTTTTATTTCTTTTAATCTTTTAATAATAATTTTTTATTTATTTATTTATTTTTTTTTTACTAGGTTCAAAATACAAAACTTGCACCAGAAAATCCCGAGATAGCAATTTTGGCAAGTTATTTCAAAAAAAAAAAAATCATTAATTTTAAATATCTTATTTAAGTTAAATAATAAATTATTTATTTATTTATTTATTTTCTAGCCATACACCTTTAAAGAAAATCAATGGCGTCCTGATAACAAAGCATTTTCTTCCCCCACAAATATTGAATCATCTTCATTATTTTTTTCATTTGAAAATTCCCATAGTGCAATTGATTTGACATCACAATCAATTAAACAAAAATATTTTGAATATTTATATGATTTTGATGAACATTTAGAAAATATAGAAGCAGATTGGTTAATTAATTCAAAAATTGTGGATTTAACAATAGCGAAAGATAAAAAAGGAAATTAACGTCTATAGTGTAATTTTATTTTTTTATTTTTTAAAAATTTTTAATTAAAAAAAAAAAAAAAATGAATTCTCTCCTCAAAAATTTCTCCAAAGATTTCTCTTATTTTTCATTCCATTGAAATCCGCAATCATGATTACAACATTTATAAAATATTGACATTGGTTCATCAGCTGAACGGGTTTGAATTTGCATAAAGTATGCTCTCGGATGTTCACATTTTGGACATCTCGCTTTAAATAATTGATATTAATAAATAATGATATATATAACGATATATATATATAAATATAAAATGATATAAATATATATTTATATTTACCATCAGTTGAATCAACATTCTTCCAGGCTTCTTCGCCACCTAAAACATCATCAACTTCTTTACGTTTTAAAATGGTTCGATTTTTATACTTGTAAAAAATTAAAAAACCAAAATTTAATATTATTATATATAAATATTCTATAAATCATATATGAATATACTATAAATATATTACAATTTGTTGTCCAATTCTACAGCCAATAGGAAATACGTATGGACAAGTTTGACAATAAAATGATTGTTCGCCTTGAGTGTGACTTTTTATTAACAATATATTTCCGCAACATGGACAAAATAACATTTCTAATTTTTTTCTAAAAAACGAAGATCAAATATATGGTGACACATTGACCTTCGTGATTTATCCGGAATCGTCACACATATACGTTTTTTGCTCATGGCAAATCTAAAAAAGGAAATTTATACTTACAAAAATGCTTATCAGTTTTCTTAATGTAAATAGTTTGTAAGGAATATAGTAGGTAAATAGTTTGTCTTCATTCATTGATATAATTAATTAGAATTCATAAATTCATAAAATTGTATAGAAAAATATTTTAAATCTAATTTCAACAAATCACTGAAAATGCACTCATAAAAATGACATATTAGTAGAAAGGTAATACTGTAATTTTTTGTCCATATGAAAAGAAATTGATGTTAAACGAATAGTTACCAAGAAAATGTTTGAAAATTTGTTGTATATTTTCCATCTTGTTATAATACACACTAATATTCCATATTTAATATATTCTATTTATCCGACGTTTACTTTCACAGTCTATAAATTCTATGGGATATCTTTTGATATTTTCTGTAAAATTTAGTTTTAACTGATTGAATTAGCAATATAGGTGATACAAATGAAATATGAAAATTAATATCTATTTAAAATTTTTATTTATACTATTTAACCAATCAAAGTGACGCTCTTTTTTTAATCATGAGCGTGGTATATTTACAAATTAGACATGATGCTTTAGCACTTCCGGAAAGTTCTTCAAGACACGCCAGAATTTAGATGGTGTAAAAGTGCGAATCACTTGAAGGAATTAAATTATTATTAATTAATTTCACGATCCCCATACCTTATATATCATAACACTTTATATATATATCGCTTTTAGACGATGCACCAATAATGACTTGTGAAGCCTGTAGAGAAAAATCATGCCGAAAAGAAGCTGATATTCAAAGTTGTAGATATGAATTTTGTAAGTATTATTAATAAAAATTGATAAAAGCGATAATTATAATTAAAACTTAAATAAATTTTGTATATCTATCTATCTATTTTACCTATTTCATAGGTGTACGGCGGACTTTAATGAAAGGGAAATATAAGTCTAAAAGTCACCGGCTTATTTGTCACTTGTACGAATAATTTAGGTCGATTAAAGCATGTGACAATGGAAATTTTATTTTTGACCAATTTAAAGTCATGTGTATTTCGTGTATTCCATATATAAACAAAATTGGGAAATATATAAAATAGCAAAATGCATCTTTTCATTATAGATTACTTTGTGACACCTTATTGACCTTTTGGTTGATATTAATCATTATACTGAACAAATTAATCATTCAATTAATATAATTAAGGAATTAATGATTTATTGTATAAATAATTAGAATTTCTGTAACAAAAAGAACATACCATAAAATTGTATAAAAATGACTAGCCTTAGCGAACTTCTCGAACTTATCAGGATTTGCGAAGAAAACGAAAGAAATGAGATTATCGAGTGTAGTATTTGTGTAGAAGAATATTCTAAATCTAATTTTCAAAAAATCACCGAAAAATGCACTCATAATAATAACATTTGTAATGCTTGTGTCGATAAGCATATTAGTTCAAAAATGAATGACAAAGGCGATATTGTAATTTATTGTCCGTATGATGGTTGTGGAAATGAATTTGAATTTAATGATGTTAAGCGAATAGTTACCAAGAAAGTGTTTGAAAGGTTTGTTATATTTTCCACCTTGTTATAATAAAACACTCTCTTATTATAGCATATAATATGAGATATTTAATATATTCTATAAATTAGATATGATACTTTAACACTTCGGAAAACTCTTCAAAACATGCCAGAATTTAAATGGTGTAAAAATGCGAGTTGCGGATCTGGTCAAATTCATTTTGAAGGAGGTAAATTGAATTAATTATTCCATTAATTTTACGATTCCCATACTTTATAAATCATATAAAATATATATTACTTTTTAGACAATGCACCAATAATGACTTGTGAAGCATGTAATTCAAAATCATGTTATACTCATGATGTACCATGGCATGAAGATAAAACATGTGCAGAATATGAAGAATATCGGCAAGGAGCTGATGCTGCAACTACCGATTATTTACAACAAAAAACTAAAGCATGTCCAAAATGTGGAATAAAAATTGAAAAAAATGAAGGATGTAACCATATGACTTGTACTATTTCAAGTTGTAAATATGAATTTTGTTGGTTGTAAGTATTATTAATAAAATTTGATAAAGATGATATTATAATTAAAAACTTTAAAATTAATTTTATATATTTATTTTATTTTATCTATTTCGTAGGTGTATGGCGGATTATAATGAAATCCGTAAAAATGGAAATAAAAGCCACCAGCCTACTTGTCAATTGTACGCTTGATAAATAATTATTTTATCAAATCTTTTGTTACCATTTTTTTTTGTGTATATGAGGACAGGTGTATTACTTATAAAGCAGTTCTTTAACTTGCTCTCTTATAATCATTTTAAAATATAAGGATAAAATGTTTTCATTTAAGATAATCTAGCAAAAAAGTATTCAGTGTAGAACTTAGTGTCCAAAGTGAATTCTCATATATAAAATATTCCATTTGCCAATCAGTGTTTATAAGGAACTACTAAATTTGTGTAACTTTATGAAATGTATTATAGCTCGGCTTTCAAATTCACTAATAATTATTTTGATAAAAACAGAAAAAAAAAAAGAAATTTCCCTGTAGATTCTTGCAAATCAATTTTCATTCGCCGATTGGTATCAAATTTAAGCTCAAAATTGATTGAAAATCTTGGAAATCGGGAAGTCATTGTTTTCTTTTATAGAAATCAATTGGAAAATCATTTTGTTTAATTGGATTAAATACTTGAATTTTTGAAATTTTTTAATTTTAATTTTTTTCATTTAGTTTTATTTCATTATTCAAGGAGATTGAGAAAATCCAAGAAATTGCTAAAGAAATCCAAGATATTGCTAAAGAATTTAGAATAGACAATATAGTAAAATGGGTAGTGCTTCTTCTACTCCTATTTCTCCTGAAGCTAGTCATAGTAATAGAGACGATACTGGCAATACTTATACTATTGAATGTCGTATTTGCATAAATAGAAATTCTAAATCCAATTTTCAAAAAATTACTGATAAATGCACTCATAAAAATAACATTTGTGTTACTTGTGTCGATAAACATATTAGTTCAAGAATGAAGGATAAAGGTGATATTGTAATTAATTGTCCACATCTTGGATGTAGAAATGAACTTGAATTTAATGATATCAAACGAATAGCTACCGAGAAAGTTTTTGAAAGGTTTGTTCTATTTTTTCTATCTTGTTATTACACTCTCTCTTATTATAGCATATGCCTAATATATTTCATAAATTAGATATGATACTTTAACACTTCGAAAAGTTCTTCAGGGCATGCCAGAATTTAAATGGTGTAAAAATTCGAGTTGTGGATCTGGTCAAATTCATTTTGAAGGAGGTAAATTGAGTTAATTATTATTAAATATTACAGTCTCCACACATTATATATCAAAATGCTTTATTATACTTTTAGACGATGCACCAATAATGACTTGTAATGTCTGTAAAGCAAAATCATGTTATACTCATGATGTACCATGGCATGAAGGTAAAACATGTGAAGAATATGAAAAATTTCGAAAAGGAGTTGATGCTTCAACCACCGATTATTTACAACGAGAAACTAAACCATGTCCAAAATGTGGAATAAAAATTGCAAAAAAAGGTGGATGTAACCATATGACTTGTACTATTTCAAGTTGTAAATATGAATTTTGTTGGTTGTAAGTATTATTAATAAAATTTGATAAAGATGATATTATAATTAAAAACTTTAAAATTAATTTTATATATTTATTTTATTTTATCTATTTCGTAGGTGTATGGCGGATTATAATGAAATCCGTAAAAATGGAAATAAAAGCCACCAGCCTACTTGTCAATTGTACGCTTGATAAATAATTATTTTTATCAAATTTCTGTTACCGTTTTTTTTTTTTTTTTGTCTATACGGGGACAGGGATTTCATTTATTTTTTGGTGTATTATTTATTATTATTTAACTAGCTAGTACTCATATGAATATCTGAGAAAATAAATTATTATTCACATTTAATTTATGTTATAAAATCTATAAAAAAATAAGAAAATAAGAAAATAAGAAAATAAGATTTATAATTGATTTATTTCAAATCTATTAGCAACAAACTTGGTTTTTTCATATAAAAAAAATATAAAAAAAATATAATGTTTATAATTTATATAAATTAGGAATAGGCTCACCAATTGCTTATGTTCTTTTATGTTCTTCGATAACGTCATAATTAAATCATCAAAATTTTTATATTATTGTATCACGTCTAAAACAATAAAAAAATTTCAATTTCATGTGACAAAATCGAATCGTCCATATGTTTTGTTCCAGAGACCTCTGATAATCATATTAAAATATAAGGATGGCTGTTTTTCATTAAGATAATCTAGCAAAAAAAGTATTCAGTGAAAAATGTAAAAGAAAATTGTTAAACATAGTGTCCAAGTGAATTTTCGTATTATTCTCTTGAACTTTTTCGGCTCAATTTAATTTGTAGTGACACCGAATTATTTTATATAATTGTCGTAAGGTGATACCAAAGTTTATATTTTTGATATGCAAATAAGCAAAATATCAAAATAACTTTGTCTATATGGTCTCGGTGCAAAAAGATTTGCATCTCACAACTTAACGTGACAGTACGAATATAATACACATAATACATAACCAAATGGATCTGCTGCAAAATTTTTTTTTTACTTTATCATGCTTCCTTCTCCTTAAAATGAAATGATGCATCGTTAACAGAAAATGAAAAAATTAATGATAATCAACATTTACAATTATCAGACACTTACATTACGCAAGCGAATTGCTGAAATATTGGGTATTGCCGAAAGAACAGTTGAAAGTGTGGTGTCAGACTGGATCAAGCACAATGATGGTACATTTACACCACAAAAAAATGTTACAGAAATTCTAAGTGGTAGCTTCTTCAACTACTTCACCTCTTGGTCTATTACTATGGTCAAGGAGAACGGAGAAACCTTCTTCACGATTGGACATGATGTTGCAAGTTTGGGTCCACATACAAACCTTTTGTCTATTCGAAATACACTTCTGAATGCATATAAAATAAAATTAATTCACAAGTTATAGTTTGGTTTTGGAGAAAAGCACTTAAAAATTCCAATGAATATTTTGAGTCAGATGAAGGTGTGCAATTAATCAATGAAGAATTTGGTGACTATAACGACTCTGATATTGATGATCTAAAGTTTATATTTTTATCTTTCCGAATATGTATTGATGATTGATGTGATTTAAATAAAAATAAAAAAAAGTCTAAATAAAAAACTGGACAATAATCACATGTCATAATATTGTATTATACAAATTTCCTTAGTCTATAAAAATCAGTATTTAAATTCTTAATTTTTTTTTTTGTTTTATGAAATTTTTAATCATTTAATTTTTAAAGAGGAAGCAGTTGAGAAAATCCAAAAGATTACTAAAGAAATATTACTAAAGAATTTAAAATAGACAGTATAGAAAAATGGGTAGTACTTCTTCTACTCCTAAAGCCAGCCGCACCATTGAATGCCATATTTGTATAAATAGATATTCTAAATCCAAATTTCAAAAAATCACTGAAAAATGCACTCATAAAAATGACATTTGTATTACTTGTGTCGATAAACATATTAGTTCAAGAATGGAGAATGTAATTAATTGTCCACATCTTGGATGTGGAAAAGAATTTGAATTTAATGATATTAAACGAATAGCTACCAAGAAAGTTTTTGAAAGGTTTGTTCTATTTTTTCTATCTTATTACACTCTCTCTTATTATAGCATATGCTTAATATATTCCATAAATTAGATATGATACTTTAACACTTCGAAAAGTTCTTCAAGGCATGCCAGAATTTAAATGGTGTAAAAATGCGAGTTGTGGATCTGGTCAAATTCATTTTGGAGGAGGTAAATTGAGTTAATTATTCCATAATCTCATGATCTCCCACACATTATATATCAGAATTCTTTATTATGCTTTTAGACGATGCACCAATAATGACTTGTAATGCCTGTAAAGCAAAATCATGTTATATTCATGATGTACCGTGGCATAAAGGTAAAACATGTGAAGAATATGAAAAATTTCGAAAAGGAGCTGATGCTGCAACCACCGATTATTTACAACGAGAAACTAAACCATGTCCAAAATGTGGAATAAAAATTGCAAAAAAAGGTGGATGTAACCATATGACTTGTACTATTTCAAGTTGTAAATATGAATTTTGTTGGTTGTAAGTATTATTAATAAAATTTGATAAAGATGATATTATAATTAAAAACTTTAAAATTAATTTTATATATTTATTTTATTTTATCTATTTCGTAGGTGTATGGCGGATTATAATGAAATCCGTAAAAATGGAAATAAAAGCCACCATTCTACTTGTCAATTGTACGTTTGAATTAATAGTTATTTATCACATTATGTAAATTTTTGTTAATATTTTTTTGTGACAGGGAATCATTATTAATATATTATTATAGCAATCGTTATATATTTCTTTTTTTTGTGTTATATTGTTTATTGCTTTTATTATTATTCAAAGAAATAAAGAAACCCACAGTAATATATATATTACAAATAATATATTGAATAAATGTCCTTGGATATATTTACAAATAATAAAAAGAAATGCAGAATAATATATATAAAATAAAAAATAAAATATTTAGTTTAATTTTGGGGTAATTCACGCTTTTCAATATAAACCTCCATTTTAGTAATATCATTAACTGCTGCAAACTGTAAATGTAAAGGTTCATTCGGGTTTACTAATTTAAAAGTAAATTTCCTATAAATTGTCGCTAATATAACTTTAATTTCAGTCATCGAAAAATTTTTTCCTGGACAACTTCTCATTCCGTGTCCAAATGGTGAAAATGCGTAATTAGGAATATTTTCTCGCCAATTACCTAGAAATCTATCAGGATTAAATTTTTCCGGATCTTTGAAATATCTAGCATCCCTATGAATATGTCCTAAATTAATAGCGAATAATGTATCAGGAGGAAATCTATATTTATCAATTTGAGTAGATATTTCTGGTGAAAATCTATATGTAACGGGTACTACTGGGTAAAGACGCATGGATTCATTAAGAACTGCTTCAGTATAAGTTAATTTGGATAAATTAGATGAATCTATAGGATTATTTTGTCCAATAACTGAAAGAATTTCATCCACCATCCGTTTTTCAATTTCTGGATGTTTAGCTAATAAATATGCAATAGAACATAAGGTTGTAGTGGTGGTACCAGTACCAGCACTAAACATTTCTCGAAGATTTTGTTTAATATCATCAGGAGTTGGATCTGAATCTTGATTCATGGTGAGTAACATTGTAAGAAAATCTGGTCTAACTTTGCTATTATTTTTATTGATGATGTTTTTATCGTTGTTATTATTATTGTTGTTATTATTATTTTTGTTGTTGATGCTTTCGGAATTAATTACTTGTTTACGGTCTTTAATAAATTTAATTTCAAATTCTGTAAGTGAATCTAAAATTCCTCGATAAAATTTACATTGACCTTGAATGAATGGTAAATTCCATAAAAATTTTGGAATAAAGACAAAGAAATTTAATGCATTTATATAATCTTCTCTTAATCTACGATAAATTTCTCCTTCACTTAAATTCTTTTTTTTAGTGTTATCAATCATAGTCTTATTATATTGATTATTATATAAAACTTTTAATGAATCTTCTTTACTTCCTGCTGCTACTAAACCCATCATATCACTAGTAAATGCTCGATACCATTTATCCATTCTAATATAAATTTTATTATCATTTTTGTTAGCTTGTTTATTATCAATTATTTTATTCCAATGTTCAATCAATTCTTCACAAGTTTCTCTGGTATATTTAGTACTAAGTTCCAAGAATGAAGGAGGAGATAAAGATTGTTGAAAGAATTTTCTATTATGTCTCCATTTAGGAATATCTAAATTTAATAATAATCCTTCTTTGTCCATGCCTAATTCTTTAAATCCGGGCATTAATGGCATCCTTCTTAAAAATGGGGAATTAACACTAGGACTAAATAAATCACCTAATAATTTAGGATTACTTATTAATACATAACGATAACCGAACATTTCTATTTCGCAAATATCTCCATATTTAGCGGATAATTTAAAATTATTTTCAGCTATATCACCAAATAAAATTGATAAATATCCAATAAAAGGTAGAGGTAATGGACCAGGGGCACGAGTATATTGAGGATCACGAAGAGATTTAAAATATGAAATGTATGGACGAATAAAGAGATATCCTAGAACAATAAAGAGGATTGAAATAAAATTAAGAGAACTAATCAATTTTAATAGGCCGCGTAATAAATAATTATAATCCATTTGATGAAATAAATTTGATATTATTGACATTTTATTAGATTTTTTTTTTAATAAATAGAATATATGGTTTTTTTTTAAAATTTCTTTCAAAGAATTTAAAAATTTGAAAATTTGAGAAAATGAAATTGAATTTGTAAAGTTGAAAATTCGAACATTATTTATAATCTTTTCAAATCTTTACGTTGATATTATATTCATATTATATTCGTACATTATATTATTCTTAATTTTCATATTATATTATTTATTATATATTATTATTATTATTTTATTTTATTTATATGTAAAATAAAAACAATGATAATAATTATCAAAAACAATAATACTCTCAGGTTACTTAATGCAGTAATAACATTATTATTGTTTATTAGTACCATTATTTACTTTATCTATAATAATATTTTTTTAAAAATAAAAATTAACTACAATAGGTTAAACAAATGTACTGCATATATTTGGTTTATTCTGTGTACATACGCGGTAATGATAAATTATATTATTCTTGAAAATAACAATACACAATTTTTGGGAATAATATTAATTTTTTTGATATTCATTTTTATTATCTCAATTCTTAGTATTCTTAATATTCTTAGTTAAGGAATACAAGAAAAAAAAAATAAAGTATAATTCTACTATTATAATAATTATAATAATAATTATAATAATACTTTGTAATATAATTATAATAATATTATGTAATAATTATAATAATACTGTGTAATAATTATAATAATACATAGAATTTTAAATGTTGTTTTTTCAACGAAATTCTCGATTGAAGATTATTAAAATATTTGTTTTATAGATTTCGAAAGTTTTAATTATTAATTATAACTTTATGATATATTACATATTAATGTGTGAAATATAAAATTATGATTGATTTTTATTTACGTATTTGACGTCTCTATATACAATGATAATTTTCGTACAACAGAAGTTTACTAAAATAAAATTATGAATTATAATTAAATTGAAAACAGAACAATGTTCTGATTATTTTAAAAATGCTAATTATTACTTTTACTATTAAAAGAAAAAAATTATAAAATGCTAATTTCTACTTTTTAAAAGAAAAACAAATATATGTACATATTAAAAAAATAACAAAAAAAAAAATTATCAAATAAAAAATAAATTAGTGTCTAAGAAATTCTGAAAGATTATTTCCTCAAAAAAAAAAAAATCAAATCAAATCAATATCTCGGAAAATCACAAAAAATGACAACCTAACAAGATTAATCAGTATCAATGTATGTAACTAAAGAAATTGCTAAAAACAATAACCCAAGAAAACAAATTTATATCAGTACCTCCGATTAAAAAATTATGAAAGATGACAGCCCCCAAGGAAATTATATCAATGCCACTGACTGAATATGTCAAAGACCAATCAAAAAAAATGAGAATATTCAAAAAAAAAAAACTACATCAATTCCTCTGACTCCTCTGACTGTAAATCATGAAAGACGAAGTTGAAATGTATTTATGGCTATTGAATAAAGAAGAAATAAATTATTAGTATTAAATTATGCTGCATGATAAATAACCCACTACCTAATTTCTTAAAACCTCACATTTTCAGCCAATGCAACTTCTGTTAACAGAAGTAATGGATTTTGTTGGTAGCTATTTTCATCCATCTCGATCTTTTCATTAATTCCTATAACACGCTCTGGGTATGGCTTTTTATTTGGATTTGGATCAGTTTGCTCTTCTTTGTCATCACTGGGAAGTTCTCTTTTCTTGCCCCGTGATACTTGCGATGCTTCAATGGGCTGGCCGACTATATTGGAATTACCTACATAAGGATTATCTTCCGATTCCTCTTCCCCGCCACCTTTTCTATTATCTTCTTCTTCTTCTTCTTCATCGTTATCACTTCCAAATAACTCATTGAGCATTTGTCCAAAATAGTCAAGTCGGATCCCATTTTTGGGCAATCGATGTAAGGTGTTATTAAGATAGAATTCGGGATCACAATCTATCTCCAGCTTTTTATCTGGAATATTCTCGATGGCCGTATTGTCAACAGATGTTAAATTATTCTCTGATACCAACCTTCGCATCGGTGGCTGTGGTACATGATAAATATGGTAAATATATGTATAACATTATAATAATCATAAATAATATAAATCAAATCAAATGTCAAAAAAATATAAATTACCAATGCGTGATCAACGTGACAGGGGCACATCCACTTTTTATAGGCTGGCACTGGAGTTGTTAATGGAGGATCTAAACAATCCAAGTGCCAGCTAAGATCACAAAAATCGCATTGCAAAATTAACTTTAATTTGCTTGCAGGAAGTTTGCAAGAAAAACAACGGATAAGTTTCCCGTTGTCGTCGACCATTCTAGTGTAGTCAGGTTTTATGGGAAACCCATTCCGACTTAATAATATAATAATTAATAATTATTATTTTATTTTCATTAAAACTTATCAAAAAATTAAGTAAACAAAATATTCAAATTAATTTTTTGTTCACTTACTCCCGCTGTTCAGACTTGAATTTATTTAGGTCGACATATTCCCCGTGTGGACCTGTTGCCACTATTTAATTTTATTTTATTTTTTTTAAAAAAAAAAATGTTATCAATTAATTAATTGATCCAGAATTACTTGATTAAAAAAAAAACCAACCATCTTCAAATGCACAACGAATGTGATCAGGCAACAGGAAAGATTTGGAGTTCGAACCTCGAGCTTTATGTATTAACTCCTGAAAGAGGCCTGGGGCAGGCATTGCGGGAGTAGCCTATAAATAATAATTTCCCAGATTATAAAAAGTTTCACTTTATAAAATAAATATTTTACTTCAAAATAGTTTTTTTTATTGATATAGACCTTTTCAGCACTGCATTCCCGACAATACCAATTTCCTTTCGGTGGGTTGTCGACATCAAGGGGGGGTACGAGGCATGTAAAATGAAAAGCTTTTGGGCAGGAATCGCAGCACATTAAGCGACCTCCGTACCCGCAAGCATCGCAATTATCATGGTTGTTCTATAATTTGAATTCAGATAATTTAATAACCGACTCGAAAATTTATAAAATTTCTATACAAATATAATAATAGTGTTGCATATAATATCTAATAAAAATTATACCTGAGTAGCATGGTTGTTGCTTGGTCCACCTCCTCCTGCAGCCAATGCACCTCTGGTATGAATTATATGTCTTGGTGCAGGCGAACTTTGTCGGGATTCATCGTTAGGAATTACTCCTCTGTAATTCCAATATTTTAAATATTTTTTATTTTATTTAATATATTTCTTATGATTAAATCTAAAATATTTCATAGAATGAGAAACACTTACTCCAATTCAGACATTTCGATCTAAACTATCATGTAACAAATATTCTTTCGTAATAAAATATTTCTTTTTAAACAGTTCATGTGATTTTAGAACATTCCAGAATAAACCCACAAATATCAATCATTTTTTTTTTCCAAATAAAGGGGATGTGTCCATCACGGAAAATCTCGTGATGGACACTGTTTTAAATAAATAAATTTTTAGCTAAGTTATAGTTATACTCGTTCCTAATTTTTAGCTAAGTTATAGTTATACTCGTTCCTAATTTTTACGCTGTTACAAATCAGTTTCCCCACGATACTACTGATAATTAAAGTCATAATACATAATTGAAACAACTTATATTTTTTACAGATTTATATTATTTTTTAGTTGATATTTACAGAGTAATAAAAATTGTAAAATTAATTTATAAATTCAAATTGCAATTAAAACTTTATTAATTATATTAGTTATTAATATGTAATAATCAAAATAGAAAATTAAATGATTTATACATTAATTCATTATTAATATTTAATTTTCATTATCACTATAATTATTATTTCCAAATTCTTCAGAATCTCAATCTTCACTATTATTTACATCAATAATATCCATGAGATCCATTTTGACATGCACAAAGTCCATTTCGATCTCACAAATCAGCAAAAGGTGAGAAGAAGAAAGGTATTGAGGAAAAGAGCAAGGTGTGAAACAATTGCAGACTTGTGGAACAATTGCTAAATTGTGGATTTTTATCACAATTCTATATGAAAAATCTGCAATATTAAGGACTTGGAAAATAATTAGGAATACCATCTTTATCTATTGGATACCTAACAAGTGTACAGTATGAACATGTACATTATTTTTACACCTATCAGGTACTTAATAAATGTAATATTTATAAATTTTTGATCAGTGATTATAATTATTTAAAAAAATCTATAATATTAAGACTTGAAAAATAATTAGAAATATTTTCTTTATTTACAAACTTGATTTCAAGAAAGAAAAAAAAAGATATAAATTTATTTTTTAAAAAAAAAATCAATAAAAAAGATTATTAGATTTATTTTGTCACAAATTTTAAATAGGTAATAAGTTTCAAATATTTTTTTTATTTCCAAATATAAAAGATATTAAAAATAATTTGAATTGTTAAAAATAATTTGAATTGTCAAAATAATTTAAATTGTTAAAAATATTTGAATTCTTTTAATTTACAAAATTCAAATAATTTAAATATATTTTATTATTTAAATTTCAAATTATTTTAAAATTTGGATAACATGTATATATAAATTTTTTTTAGAATTTATGTAATTTTTATATTATCAAAATTCTATTTTTACAATTTATAAAATTTTTTAGTAAAATTGAAAAATGAAATTTTTTAGAAATTAATATTAATTGAGTAAAGAAAAATAAACAAATTTTAATATTAATAATTAAAAAATATACAAATAACACTAGTTAAATACAAAAGAATTACTGTACTAAATGGTGATTCCTATATTATAAATTAGTAAAAATCAACTATCCTCTTATATCCTATATTATAAATTAGCTAAAATCAGAATTACTTTTTGGTACAGTATATCTTTTATATTTAATTTGTACAAACAAGAAAATTTGTAAATAATATATAAATAGATAAAAAAATTTTTAAAAAGATTTGTAAATAATATATAAATAAATAGAAAAATTTATAAATAATATACAAATAGACTTAATCAATTTGTATTGAAATTTACTAATTTTTGATTATTAATATATATATAAAATATAAATAGAAAAAGGTAAAAGTATAGAAAATATAAATCACTTTGTATTTAATAATAATAAATTAATTTATTTTTCTTAAATAATAGAAATAATAAATTAATAAAATTAAATACTAGTTAAATGAGTAAAATTTTGATACAAATAAATAGAATTTGTAAATTATTATAAATAAGTAAAAAGATATATAAATAAATAATAAAATTTATAAATTATTTACAATTTGTTAAAAATTTTGTTAATTTATATAAAAATGATAAATTCAAATTTTTTCAAAAGAAATATATTTAGAATACAATGTTTTAATAAGAAATAAGATAAAAAGATAAAAAAATATTTATTTTGTTTATAAAAAAAACTTTTTTTAAAAGATATATATTTTAATTATAATACAAATTGTATATATAAAAATAAAATGTTATTAATCAAATACTTGTCAGTTTTTATTAAAAGTATTAAATATAAAAGATATAAGTTTATATTAGTATTGTTTTAGTAATATCAAAATTAATTAAATTAAGTTGAACTAAATTATTTAAACTAATAAAATTTATAAATATTATACTTATTAGATATCAGATAGGTAACAGATAGGTTTCAAAAATTGAACACATTAATTATCTAATAGATGTAGAAAAATATTTTTTTGCACTTATTGAATATCTGATATATATTCAATTTTTAGAAATCTGTTATCTATCTGATATTTAATATAAAATTTTGATCAGTAAAGATTAAACCAAACTTAAATTGATAGGTTAATAGGATTGGATTGCAAAATTAATGGAGCAATTATACATGTCATCAAAACTATTAAATTGAGTTAGACATTTAAAAATTAAAAGAATTGAACAATGAAAATTTATTATTTTTGGTAACCCATTCTAATAATGATTTGACTAACTTGAAGTTAAAAATGGAACTGTAATTATAAATTACAAATTATGATATATATATATATATATATTACTCAAATTAATTTTGGCATAATAAAATAACTTGGAGTTTGGAATTTAGCACTATAATAAATTAATAATAATTTTGGATTTTGAAAAATAATTGTATATCATTGACCCATTGGTTTAAATAGTTGATCTAGCTTGCTTGACTTGCCAACAGTTAAACTTGACTTTGGTCTCAAGTAGGATCAAGCTGGATTATTAATTTGGCATAATAAAAAATTTGAAATTTGGAATTTTGAAAAATAATTTGGATAACATGTATAATTTCGGTTTAAAGATTGGCAATTTTTATTGACAATTTATTGTTAATAGATCTTTATTTTCAGAATTGTCATCTCCAATCACACTGTAATTTTCAATTATGTAAAAAACTCCTAAACTTATATACTTATTGAAATATTAAAAAGAATAAGCAATTTTTTTCATTTTGTTCACGTTGGTGGGACATTTTTGTAATTTTATTCAAATTGTTTAAATGACTTTTGCATTTGATCATTTGTCATCACTGGTAATAAGAGAAACTGAAAAGAATAGGTATGTATATTTAATTATAAATTATTTGGACACAAGTCACCCGTCATGTTTTTGTTTGTGAATGATTTGCAAAATTTCCCTGTCAAACTTGTCTAAAAATCTGTCATTCAACTTGTTAATATATTTTTTAAAGTTAAATATAATTTATAATGGTAAATAACTACAGTACTTGATTATTTAATTGATAGAGAAAATTTTTATTGTACTGATTGAATAGCATATTGTTCACTAATAGAAATTATTTTCTGTACCAATTCTTGAAATAAAGCTTTTTGTTGCGGAGTTGGTGAGAATTCTGATTCTTCTCCACCACATCCTTCTGGGCCTCCTATAATAAATATATTTATTAATATATAATAAAATGGAAATAATTTAATAAACAGAATAGAGTATAATGAATTAAGCAAGCATAATACCATTACGCCATTCAAAACCATCAGAATAAAATTCAATTGAAGTATCGAATCCATAAATATCTTGTCCACCCATTGGATTTTCAGTAGGAAGACCAGTGAGTATCGTTTTCGTATCATTTACAAAAGCTCCGACTTGTTGGCTAAATAAATAAAAGAATGATTTTTATTGAACGTTATTGAAAATTTCGAAAATGAATTTCTTACCTTGTTAAAACTCCTCGTAAAACGATATCATCTTCACCTTTACTTTTAGGAGTTATGTTAATTATAACTCCTCCATTTTCATCACCTTCTATTTCGACTCTGCGTCTAATTTTATATATATTATTGTATCAATTCTACACTAATTTATATTATATTATCAATTTCACTATCAATTACCTTACAGTAGCAGGTTTAAACCCTCCTACAATTCCTTCAGTCAAAACAATTCTGAACATTATTATTATTTATTTATAAGTTGAATATCGTATTGTTTAAATAACAGATGATAATCATCACGAGGATAATATCATGCAAGGATTTGGTTTCACCAACAGTCTAATAAAATTCATTGTCATGTGATTGGAATTGAATGTGATGCGTCTTAAAGATCTTGTCTCGAACATAATGTTTTTATATTTTTTATTTTCCTTAACATGTTTCAAAAGAATCAAAAGAAACAATTAGAAGTTAAAAATAAATATAATTGAAAAATCTGGAAATACAAATGCGAATGTAAAAAATGTAAATAATGTTTTGAAATTTTTTCTTTTTCTTTCATTTAAAAATACAAAAAAATTCTTTAAATACTTAGAGTAAAATTAAATTAAATACAGGTAAATCTAGGATGCAGCAGATTTATTATTTATAGCATTTTCTTTACTCAATTGAGCATACATTCGATCAACTCTGTCATGCACAATTTTCAAAGTTTGATTTGTGTTTGCTAACTTCCTTCGGGCGACCGCTAATTTTTGAATTGAAGGTTGAATAGGTGGCGCTTCTGTTGCTTCGACGAATAATTGTAGCTCTATTATAAAAAATTTTTAAATAAAATATAATCAAATAAATAATATAATCAGTTAAATAAATATAATCAAAATAATCAAATAAATAATATAACGAAATATAATCAAATAGAATACCTGCTAACAATCTTTCAATCTCTTTATTTAATTCCAACTGACTTGTTTTAACTGCCACAATTCTATTATCCATCTCTTCGATAACAGGCTTCAATAGAATTGATAAACCTTTTACAAATTTTTCTTTATCTAAAGATATATTTGTGACATTATTAATACTACCACTACTATTGTTATTCTGACTAATATTTCCGCTAGGATCATTATTATCGTCACCTAATGTTTCGTTATGAGTAGGTGTAGTTGTTCCCGAATTGGAACTATTCTTATAAGAAGTGTCAGTGTTGTTGTCAGTGTTCTCAGTGTTCTCTATGTCCTCTATATTCTTTTTGTTCTTTACGTTTATGTTGTTCTCTATGTTCTCTAAATTCTCTACATTCTCTACAGCTTTGGCAGTAGAGGTTGTTGGAGTGGATAGATCAAGATCTATGAATTCATCGTTTACAAGTTCCATTTTTTTCAATTCAAATTTTGGTGGCTTATTACTGACTGTTATCGCTTTATCTCACTGTATCTTGATATCTCACTGTATCTTGATATCATGTGAAGACGCGAATCAAGCACGCGCATACTATTATATAACTTGACACATTTTCAATAACTCCTAATAACTTCTAACAATGTATAACGGACTATCAGTAACATCGTTATTGGAAGTAACCCGGCGTTCAATAAAAGCATCAACTCTTCCTCTTTATGAAGACGAAACAGTGCAGGGAATTGTTGAAGGAATTTTTACATTAGACCAAATCATAGAAAATTCTCAAAATTCAGTTTTAGGGGAGCAAGAAAATTCTCAAACAAACATTAATGAAAATCGTGATCAATTTAATCGATTAAATCGTAATGTTAGTGAAAATGAATCAATGTTATCAATAGAAGAGGAACCACTTCTTTCATCCTCACAACTTTCCCGAACCTCAAATCACACAATAATAAATTCTACTTCACAAAATGTTACAGCGAATCAATTTATTCCACGTCTTATTCAAAATCAGGATATCAAAGTACTTCAATTGTATCATTCATATCGTTTAGAAAAAATTAAAAATTCCACAATTCAGGATATTCCATATTCCGAAGATGTTTGGTTGAATTTATCAGAAGAGGAAAAGAATTTTTATAAAGAATATAAAGAATTATTAGAAAATTTAAAAGAAAAGTCACCATCAATAATTAATTTATCGGCTAATTTGATACCACCTAGAGAAGCCCTTGTTGTTATTAGAGTTATTTCAGATATTGGTAAATTATTTAAATTATTTAAATTATAAAAAATTATTGTATATTTTAAAAATTACATATTATTATATATTATTATATTATTATTTATTTATTTATTTTCTCATTTATAAACTTAATTAATATTAATTAATTATTTAATTATTTATCTATAATAGGAGAATTAATGACACTTAATGGATTTATTAATTTTCGCAAAGGTACTCAAATAAAAGTAAAAAAGGCAGATCCAACTGTTGAAAGATTAATAAAGATTGGAGCCATCAAAATTGTTGGTTACAGATAACCAAAGAAATTTTTATTTTATTTTATTTTTTTTTTAATAAAATCAATACTTTATTATTTTTTATTTTATTTATATGCATTGAAGAGATTTATTTTTAAATTTTACGGATTTTTATATGCAAGTGATCTCATGTGACCTCGATGTATGTCCTAAATTTCCTAAATTTCTTTTTAGGTGGTTTAAACCCAAAAATAGATTTCTGTCTTTATATAGAGCGTCTCAAAAAGAACTTAGATTTTTTTCGGTCTTTCTTTCGCTGTTGTTTCCAAATAATAATAAAAATAATAATAATACAAACTTTTTAGAAGGAATTTCTTGAATTTTTTTATTAACAATTATGTCAACTCTACAAAACTTTCAAAATGAATGGATTTGTGAACGTTGTACCTTTGCCAATAAAGTAAGAGCAAAACTGTAAAAAACATTTTCATTGTCAAAATTTTTTTTTATGGGTGTGTTAATTTATTAATCCCGACTGATCCTATTGTTATTCCAAGGGAGTAAATTTAACGTGTACAATGTGTTTCCTGACCAGGACAGACGCAAAGGATTTACCCGTTCAGGTAGTGATATAATAACTAATTATAATATCATTATTGACGCGCTTTAACAATATCTTATTTTAAATTGTATGAATTTAGTGGGAATGGAGTGCAAATCCGGATCAATGGATTCCTTTTGATTTGGCTTCAGCAGCAGAATTAGAAGACGCATATCAAAAAAAAAAGGCATCCATATCACCTAAACAAGGTTATTTCGCTTCAATACCTGATAGATATGAGATTCGATTTAATTATGTTACAGGACGTTTTCAGCAACATAATATGACGAGTGGAGGTGCAAGAAGAATCAGGAGAGTTGCTAATGGTTAGAAATCTTTAAAGAATTTTTTTATTAGTAAATTAATCTAATTTAAAATGATTTTATTTACAATTCTATTTATGGTTTAAATATTTACACAATTTTTTATGCGATTTTACTTAGATGATAATTCCATTCTTCAACCTGTTCCTTTTGAGAATGTTACATCCGAAGACTGTTGTATCATATGTTTAGATAACTTTGAAGATGAGAACACATCTATAGAACAAGAAATAGTCAAGTTACCACCTTGTCATGGACATTACTTTCATAGAGCATGCGTTGCAGGTGATTTAGATATATATATATTTATTTATTTATAATTTTACTCTCTCCGCCGTGTTTCAATTAGTGAATGTATACCAATTATCAATTGCCAATGTATTATTATTATTATTTATTTATTTATTTTTTTTTTAATATAACAGCTGCGATCAAATTGAAAGATGAATGCCCAATGTGCAAGCGAAGAATTGATTATTGAAAAATCTGTCTATTACAATATATATCTGTAACATAATGGAATGTACTGTATTTTCAATTTTTATTATCTTTTCACATATTGCTTTCTTTATTCAATTCGATATACATTTTTTTTAATAATATTGAGATTATCTTAATTATAATATTAAAAATTAAAAATACTTTATGATTTTTATTAGTAATTGTTTAAAGTTCATTCCGATGTTCATGATCCAAAGATCAATTCAAAGATTTGGTGCTTGTTATTATTGATCATTCAATCAGAGATGGTCTGACAATTCTTGCAATTATGATTCTTATTTGCAGCTTTAATCTCGTTTATCAGTATATTTTTTCGTTACTTGTTTTTTTTTTGAAAAGGATATTAAATTAATCTTTTGTAAATAAAATACTTGTGTTTTAAATACTACGTTATACAATTTATTTGAAAAATGTCAATGCATGATAATAAAATAATAGAAGTTTATTTGAAATCTTTCTATTTTACAATGAATAAAAATTCTCAATTCGGTAGGTTTTATTTGAAATAGGGTTCCGCAAAAATATTCGAATCCAAATCGATCCGCGGATCGGATCCTGATCGGATAATACTGTTACGGATCGAATCCAAAAAATGAAATCCTAGATCGATCAAAAAAGATTCGGATTTGCAATTATAAATATTATTTTATTAAAATAATGTTCCCCTTTTAAGTGTAACTTTAGAAAATACTTATAATTAAAATAATCGTCGATCGTTGTTATATATAAAACTTTTTATTTTAATAAGTAAGTGTCAAAAATAGTACTAAGTAACTATAAAGACAAAAGGAGATTACATATTAGGTAAAAAGGACAGATCTATATAATTAAAATTGAGAGAATTCTGAACAGTTAAAGTTAAATGGATAAAAATTTTAAAATGTCAATTATTCACTCAATTTTGATGATATAAGTCTGTTCTTTTTATATGATATGCAACTCATTCTTATATTTAAGGTTACTTAGTACCGTATTTGATATGCATTTATAAAATAAAAATTTTATGTGTCAACGATCGATGATTTTATATATTGCTCGGGGGTTCAAAAAAGCAAAATTATATATATATAATATTCGAATCCACATTGGATTCGAATACACTAAAAATCGGATTCGGATTTTAATAAGTCGGATCCGTATATGACGAATCTGGATCGGATTTGAGGAGAATGAATATTGGATAGATCCGAATATTGGTAAAAATCCGATCCGATCCGGCGTTGCGGAACCCTAATTTGAATCCGCAGCCGAAACGAGACCGTGAAACCGGACTAGATGGGTTGTGATACCAACCGAGATATTGGTCACATATTATATATCACCTGTATTATCTATAATTTTTTTTTTTTTTGTAGATTATGAATTGACTTTCAATTATGGACCGTTTAGATGAATTATCAGACGACGTACTTGCGTTAAATATCGATAATGCTTCTTATGATGAATCCGAAGTTTCGGAATTATCCGAAGAAGAAGTATTTGCATTGAATACTGAAAATGCTTCTGAAGAAGAGGACGACGACGACGATTCTGACAAAAGCGAAAAAGAATCGTTGTCGGAAGATTCTTCTGGTTCGGAAGACTTTGAAAAATTTGACGCGTCCTGGGGTAAAAGTAAAAGAATTTATTATGATGCCGATGAGGTTTCAGATTTGGAAGAAGCGAGAGAAGAAGAACAGGAAGCCTTGAGGTTATACAAGAAAAGAATTAGTCAAATGACTGAAGAAGATTTCTTGGAAACAAATGAATATAAAGCGGTTGTTAATTATTACTTGAAAGAATGAAGAAGAATAATAATAAAAAAAGTTAATATTAATAATAATATTATTCAATAATAATAAAATTCATTTCTCTGTTTTAGAATGACAATGACAAACTTTCCGAACAAAGCAATAATAAAAATTTTCAAATTTCTTCTGATAGGTTTGTCTTCTTTTCTTTTTTTTATTCAAAACTTTTTAATTTAAAATAATCAAACTTATTAGATCATTTTGTTTTTATTATTATTATTATTATTACAAAAGTTTAAATGAAGTTCAACCAGAAGTTTTAAGTAAAAGTCGTTTGGCCACTTTATCACGTGAGGGAATATTGAATGTAATACAAAATGAGTCACCAGAACTTATTGGATTACTTAATGAATTCGAAGAGAAGCTTCCACTGCTTCAAGAAATGGTATCTGTTTTAGAAAAGTAAGAGTAATTCTAAAAGTATTTCTTTTGCTCATTATGTATATATATATATTTATAATTTATAATTTATAATTACCAGATCCCGACAAAGAAATATGAAAAATAGTCCAGAATTAAAATTTTTATCTATGAAATATCAATTATTGATACATTACTTGAAAAATATTTCATTTTATCTTGTTCTAAAAACTTCGGGAACAAGAAATTTACGGGAACACCCTATAATTGATGCACTTGTGGATTTAAGAATTACTTTGGATAAATTTGAAAGATTAGAAAGTAAAGTTGAAGAGCCAATCAAATCATTTATAAATAAACTTGATCAACCCGATCAACCGGTTGAAGGTTCTTCAGATATTAATTGCACTTTTTTTTTTGAGTAATACTTGATTCTTTCTATTGCTCATCATGGATGTCAATATTGATTAATCTTGTAGAAATTAAATTGGATGATAAACCAGAACAAATCGAACAACAACAACAACAACAACAACAACAACAACCGGAAGTATTAAAACAAAAGAAATCAACAAATACTAAGAAAAAGAAAGATAAAAAGAAAGATAAGAAAAAAAAAGTGATTAAGGAAACTAAATCTCAATTAGTTTCGATTAATGATCACGAAGAAGATGATAAAATTTCACCAATACTAACACAAGTGGAGGAACTACAATTTATTAGTCTTAAGAAATCAAATAAAAAGCGAAAACTGGTAATTATTAAATGACATATTTGTTAATGATATTATTATCAACTAAAACGTAAAATATAAAATTGAATTATTATTTGTTATAAGGAATCTACTGATTTTGGTGACTTAAATGTCATGGATGAAGTTGATGCCGAAGATAAAGAACAAAAAAGAAAATCTTTACGATATTATGTTTCCCAAATTGATCAGGTAAATGAATCAATCTATCAATTAATCAATAAATATTCGAGAATAAAATTAAAAGTGATTTATTATTATTATTATTATTCAATTTTTATAGAAATTATCAAAACGGGATAAAGCAGTTATTCAAGGAGGTGATACCGATATTCCTTATAAAGATCGAAAAAGAAATAATAATAATAATATACCAAAGGATAAGAATGATGATGGAATTGATTTAGATAATCAAGATTGGAATGATGATGATACTAAGGTAGCAATGGATATTGAAAATAAAGACGATGATGATGATTTTGAAGAAATATATCAATCAATTAAAAATTCCAAAAAAGTTAAGAAAGATCAAAGAAAAGTTCAATTCGAAGAACAAAATTCCAAGTATGTAGAAGATCCATTATCAATTCGATTAAAGGAAATTTATAATATTTATAAAAATTTCTATTTTTTTTAATCATAATAATATATTACACAGAGTTATTATTCATGATGAAACACTTCCCGAAGGTGTAAAACGTCAAATTAATTATCAAATACTTAAGAACAAAGGTCTTAAACCTAGTCGTAAGAAAGAGCAACGGAATCCACGTGTTAAACACCGACAGAAATTCGAGAGAGCCAAGAAAAAGATCAAAAGTATTAAAGCTACTTTTGTACAACAGGAAGGTTCTTATGGTGGTGAGAAAACAGGTATTAAGACGGGATTGACGAGAAGTGTTAAGTTTAATTAATCAACCAATCACGTATTTTTCAATATAATCAAATAAAAATAAATTATTATAATTGAACAATGTATCACAATCACAATAAATATTTTTTAAATCAACGTTTTAAAGAATATTCAATTCAACTTTTTTTTTTTTTTTTTTAATTGGTCAGAGTTTTATTTACATGAGGGTGAGAGTAAATAAAAAAAAAAGGAATATTATATAAAAATTGAGAAAAAAAAAAGTCAGCCATAACTGATAGAGAAAGAAGGCAAAAGAAAAAAAATAAATTGTAATTGAATTCACACTACACTAAACAAAAAATATAAAATATAAAAAAGGGAATGAAATTTCTATCTAACATAACAAATAATTTGCTATAAATAAATCACGGGGAGATAATAGAAGTCTTTCTACGATAATTTTTTTTATTTATTTTATGAATAAAATGGGTTAAATAATATCTAAGTAGATGTAGTACCACCCCTCTTTCTTGTTGATCTCTTTACACCAACTGCGGGTTTCTTTGTGGTAGCAGCAGGTTTGGATTTTTTCGTAACTCCACCACTTGATTTTTTGGATTTCGCTGTTGCTGCCGCTGTAGATTTTCTAGTAGTAGAAGCAGCAGCTTTTCTAGCAGGAGCTTTCTTGGTAGTTGTTTTCTATAATACATTAATTAATTTAAATTTAAATAATTTAATAAATAAATAAATAAATAAATAAAATAAATTGATTAATAATAAATGAATGAATGAATATTATCGATCAAGATCTACCTTTTCAACCTTTGGTTTTACTTCCTTCTTTTCAGCGGCCTTTTTTGGTTTTACTTCTTTCTTTTCAGGTTCTTTCTTATCCTTCTTTACAGCATCTTTTTTAACAAGTTTAATGGTTCCACTAGGTCCTGTGATGTGACGTAAATGATTTATTATTAATTAAATGAATAGAATTTATAATTCATATATTCATATAATAACATTTAAATAAATAAATATTTTAAAGCTTTTTTTTTTTTTTTATTTATTTGAAAATATACGTACCATTAAGAAATTGAAAAGTTCCTTTCTCTACACCTTTATTTATAGCCAATCGAAGACGACTACTCGTTGTGGAATTATCGGGAAGTTTGAAAGTGGTCAAGATGTATTTTTTAATCCTCTGACGACTAAGAAAATAAATAAATAAAATAAAATAAAATATAAAATATAATTTAATAAAATAAATTTTAATAAAATTTAATGAAATAAATAAATTTATTAATAAACGCGTATTTACCTGCTTCCTTTCCTTTCTTTCAAAGCGATAATAGCATCTATTACGAAAAAAAGTAATCGTGAGAAAAAAAATTTTTTTTAATAGAATAAAAACATTTAACGTCTATATTATATTTCTCTTTTTTCTTTAACTGATTTTATTTATTTACCTCGGATCATGTCCTCATACCTAGGGTGGGAAGTAACCGTAGCAGCTTTCTTAGCCTTAGGCTTAGCAGTTGAACTTCTGGAAGTTCTGGTTCTGGGAGCAGAAGCAGCTCTGGCCATGATTTTTTTTTTTTATTAAAGAATTTTTACGAAAAAATAAAATGCGAAAAAATAAAACAATAATAATAATATAATAATAATAAAATAATTCTAATTTTATAATAAAAGAACAAAGAAGAAAGAAAAAAATGTGGTGGTGAAAATAAACAAAAAAAAGGAACTAATTTTTTTAAGTGATAATTTTGAATTAGGTTGCGTTGTTTATATATGCGATCAAACATTAAAAAAGTGGGTGATTAGTCAGGTGGGAGAATTAAAAAACAACTATATTTGATTTGTTAAAAAAACGCGCCTCAAAAAAAAATTCACAAATTGTCATAATGTCACAGTGGGAAATTTTTTAGTTCTGTTTTTATTTATTATTTTTGTTTTTTTGTTTATCTTGTTTATCTAAACGGTATCCATATAATATTATGCTCTCGATGTGTTCGTTTTATTTGTTATAGAATTAACGAACATAAAAAATAAAACAAATAAAATAAATAAATATATCAAAATTAATAAATATATCATAATAGATATCTTTCTTTTACATTGTAAATTGATAAATTGGGTAATTTTAAAGAAATATCCTCTCCAAATTACAGGTTAAGTGATCTGCAAGTTGAAGAGAGAACTTTAGTTAGGTATTACTAATTATAGTAATCATAGTAATTATAGTAATTATAGTAATTATATTATTATTTATAGTAATTAGAGTAATTAGACTAGAGTAAATTATATTAGGTATTATTTATAGTATTAGGTTATCGTAAATCATTTATTATCGCGTTTTTTTATTATTACTATTTTATTTACGCGTTTTTTAAAACAGAATTTATAGAATTAACAGTAGTAATAATAATAATAATAATAATAAGAATAAGAAAAAGAATGGATTTTACAGAACTTTACAAACACTCTTTAAACCTCTGTAAATTTTCCCCAGATTTAAAATATATCGCTACGGCCTTTGAAAATGTAGTCATTGTTCGTGATACTGAAACCTTTCAAAATAAATTAGAATTTGTGAAAAATTTTCGTTTTCAATGTATTGAGTGGTCCTCGGATTCAACACTTTTATTGGCAGCAAATTTTAACTCGGGTAAAATTATAATTCGAGATGTTAATAACCCAAGTTGGAAAAAAATTATTAAAGAAGGACCGGCAGGTCTTTTAAATGTAAAATGGAATCCGGATGGTAGAAGTGTAATGTGTTTTTCGGATTTTCAGGTATTTTTTAAAAATATATATATATGTGTATATATATATATATATAAAATAGAAAAAATATATATTTATTATTAATTATTTTATTGTTTTAAAGCTTCGTATAACAATATGGTCACTAATGACAAACAAAGGTTATTGTATACAAGACCCAAAATATCATAACAAAGGTAAATAATTTTTGTAGAATATAAGAAGAATAATAATTAAGATAATTAAAATTATTTTTTCTACATCAAAAAAAAAAAAAAAGGATTTTGTTTTCGGGAGGAATCATCATCGTTTATATTAGCGGAACGTCGTGAATGTAAAGATTTTATTGGAATTTATAAATGTGATACTGATGTTTGGAAGTTATTAAACGTAATTGAATTTTTTATTTATTGACACTTTTGCGATATATCTAAAATAATTAAAATATATAAACATAGAAATATTTATATATTAATACTTTTATACTTATTAGGTGTTTCAAGTGGATACAATAGATTTAGATAATCTAGAATTATCACCTAATGGACAATATATTGTAGTATGGGATAAATGCATTTGGGTAAGTTGGTAAGTTTTTTAATAAAAAAAAAATTTATGATGAAATGACAAGTTTAAAATAATGAATTATATAATGTATTATTATTATTATTATTATTATTAGTATAAAGTTTTAATATATACTCTTGATGGACAATGTATGGGAAATTTTTCTATTGATGATGAAGGACTTGGTGTAAAATCAATTGCTTGGTCACCATCAAGTAAATTAATAGCAATTGGAGGTTATGATCAAAAGGTGAATAATAATTAATTGATATTTGATTATTTTTTTGATTACTAATTACTTTATTAATTTATATATGTATATTTATTTGATTATTTGATTATTTGATTATTTTAGATTCGTCTTTTTAATAATTATACCTGGTCACCAATCATTGAATTATTACATTCAAATCGAATTAAAAATGATCACGATTTGGTACATGATTTCTAACTATAATTTTAACTATAATTTTAATTATAATTTTAACTATAACCTTATAATTCTAATTTTAATTCTAAATAAATATATAACCTTAATTCTAATTAGAAAATTTGGAAAGAAGCAAGTGAACATGATCCCAAATCTGAAAGATTTATTGTCAAGTGTAAGTTTCCTCTTCTCCTTTTTATTTTTAAGAGTATAAATGATAATAAATTTTTTTGTTGTTATGTGCAGATGATATTATTGAAGAACCTGTGGAACTAAATTCGGTGCAACCTGATGTGAAACCGAATCCTAAATTAGGAATTGGAAGTTGTAAATTCAATTCCAATGGAAAATTACTGGCTGCTTATAATGGTAAAAAAAATAATTGTTAATAAATTTTATAATATATATTTTTTTTTGTTAATAATAATAATAATAATAATAATATATATATATATTTTTATTATGACAATATTTTCTTTGAAGATAATTTTCCTAATTGTCTTTGGATATGGGATATCAGTCATTTAAATCTTTTGGCTTTAATTATTCAATTAACACCTATTAAACATTATCATTGGAATCCTGTCGAAGTAGAACAACTTGCAATATGTTGTGGAAATGAATATGTCTATTTTTGGTGTGGTCAAGATCATGGAACTGAAATTATTGAAGTTCCTGCTGGTAAAGAAATTCATTTCATTTATATTTTAATTATTTTAATTGATCATATTATACTTTAATTATATCTTAAGCATATTTATATTTCTTTATTATTTATAGTAAACTTTAAAGTTTGCAATATAAACTGGTGTTCAGATGGTAATTCAATGATAATAATGGATAAAACTAAATTTTGTGTTGCTTTTACTACTAGAAATAAAGAAAATAGTATGATGAGCGTGACGAGTGTAATGAGTGAAATGAGTATTATGGAATAAATGTATAAATTTATATTAATTGCCTGCGGTTGTCAAATATTAATTATATTGTAAATATTTTTAAATATGAATTTTGCGAATAAAGAATTATGAGATAACTTATTTTTAATATTTTTTATTATTGTTATTATGATCATACAATTAAATATTTGTACATAAAATTATATTTTAAATATTTATACAATGATTATAAATGATCCAATTATAACTATCATCGAGATTCTACTCGTGCCAAAAGTTCCATATTTCGCCACTTTTAAATAGATATTTATTAAAATAGATATTTAAAATAATAAAATAATTAATCAAAAAATTAAAATTATATAATAAACATATATATAAATATAAAGTATGCATTGTAAATACCTCCAATTCTTCATTTCTTTTCGTAACTTTTTCATATTGAATTTCCAATTTTTTAAATGCATTATCTCGTTTATCTCTTTCCGATGTCCAAATATTCATCTACACATATTATACATGTGTAAAAATATATATATATATATAAATATAAATATTAAATATAAATTACAAAAAAAAAATATTAAAGATGAATTTATTATTTTACCTGTTTTGTTAATGCATTTGTTGACTCCATTGAAAAAGGTTCCAATTTTATTTTCAAGTCATCAATAATACATGATTGAGAACTACAATAATAATGATGATGATAATAATATTAATGTGATAATCATAAATAAATATAATAATAATAAATATAATAAATATAATAATAATAATAATAATAATAATAATAATAATAATAATAATAATAAAATATAATAAATATATAGAATAAATAAATAAATAAATAAATAATTTACCTAACAAGTGACTTTAAAGATTTAATTTCAACTTCACTAGATTCTAATTTAAATTCCATCTTATGCCATTGTCCTACAAGAGTTTCCATAAGTAATTTTTGTTCTTGAAATTTACGTGAATCCGATTCCCAAATCACAAGTTGTTTGGTTAATTGATTAATTTGATTTTTATATTCATTCAATTTTTGAATTTGTGGTTCATGCACTTTGATTTCACTTTCAAGTTTAAAATTCCTAAAAAAAAATTAAATTATTAAATTATTAAATTATTAAATTATTAAATTATTAATTATTAAATTAAAAATTAAATTAAATTAAATTCATTTTTTTCTTACTTTGCATTGGATTCTTCAATCTGTTTAGCTTGTATATTAATAGTGAGCTATTAAATAAATACAAATTATTAAATATATAATATAAATATAAAACAAATTATATTAATTATATAATATAAATATTATATAAATAGAACATACTTTAGCCTCCCTTAATTCTTGTTCTAATTTATCAATTTCTGATTTCCGTTCATTCGCTTCATTTCGATATTTTCTCAATTTCACTTTTAATTCATCTTCCCATTTGATATGTTTTTTCTTTATACTGGCAGTTTCATCTTTTTGTCGATTAAAAGCTTCTTTAGTTTTATCCAATTGAACCCTTAAATTTCTATAGGTAATATATAAATTTTGATGTTCGGCTTCCACTCGACTATCTAATATATGATCTCGATGTAAACGACCAATGTGTTGAAGATATTGTTGTTTTAAATAAAGTTCAAAATTTAATTCATTTCGTAATAACATTATTTCTCGCTGAAGAAATGAAATACTAGCTTGTTGTAATAATAAAGGTTTTTGCGTTTTTTGTGGTAGTGGAGATTCTTGTGGTAATGAAGGAAGTGGTAATGATGGTGGTGGATGCAATAACGAAGATGGTACATTTGAATATGAAATTATCTTTGAGGCCTATGTGTATAAATAAATCGAATAATAAAAAATGAGTACAATTTTTTTTTATAACTTTTTATAATTAATTGTATTAAAGTCATATTATTACCCAAGGATCATCGCCTACAACAATATCAACTCCACTCTTTAAAGCTTTATGAACATCCACAATTTCTTGCATAGAAATTGATTGTGAAACTCTTCGAACTTTTTCTGTTGTCGTATCTTCCAATTCTTTTAATTCTTTTTCAGTAAATTCACTATTATCATTATTATTATTATTATTATTACTATTATTGTTATCATTATTTAATGATAAATCAGGAGAAGTTCCAAATTTAGCAATTGAAATTGATGATGATAATGCATTCTCAATATTAAAACCAACACATTCAGCTACTACATCAGCAGATTCAACTTTCATCCATCTTGAAGTATCAGAAAGTTCTTTTTGACTATCACTAAGAATAAGATTGGGATGTAATGTATGACGTCTTAATAATGGCTATATATAATTACATAATTAATGAGATTATTAATTAAGATTATTATGATATATAGATATATAATTAACTGATTAAGAATTATATAATTAACTTACCATACTTCTAGAACGTATTACAGCATCACCTATTCCTTCATAAAAGGATGGAAAATTCCTTTCTTTAAACCAAGTTGTTGGATCACTTAAAAATTTGATAGTATTACAAGGAAACATTCCATACAATATTGTAAAGAGATGTAAACAATTTGGTGGAGTTGATGGAACATTATCAAATGTTGAATCTAATTAAATATTTTAATAATGAATGAATGAATGAATATAATTATAATCTCGATGTATTATTATGATGTATTAATATGATGTATTATTATGATGGATTATTATGATTTTTATGATATGATAATTTAACCTACCACATTGATCCCATGAATCTTCATCATTTGTAATATTTATTTTTGGTAAATCATGAACTTGAGGAACTTCTGGAAACATCGTGACATCATCAATTAATTCATAATCATCTCCTTCAGAATTAATAGATCCAAAATTATGTTTATCCCATAATAAAATTCTAATAAATACTGTATAAAGACGTGGAAGATAAGGAACTACTGATATACATATATGAGGTAAAAGCATAATGAGTGCTGTCAAAGATAAAGAAATTATGGTAGTTGATGTATCTCTCTATCAAAATATTTTATTTAATAATTAAAAAAAAATAATAATAATTAAAAATAATGATATTATTTGAAAACATATTTAAAAAGATATATATATATATTATATATATAATAATATGTATAAAAAATATGTATAAAAAATATGATTACCTGTAAAGATTTAAATAATGAATCGAGTAAAGGAGTTTCTAGAATTTGGTGAATATATAAGTTCTATAATTTTAAAAATAATAATTCTGATCAAAAATTAACCAATTTTTTTTTTTTTTATTATTCAAAAAAAAAAATTTCAAATTAAAAATATTAAACATACTTGTGATCTTATAAATTCAGTTAATAATGATAAAACTTGTAATCGATATTGTTTTTGAATAAAGTATGAATTTAAAAGATCAAAGAAATCCTTTGTTTTAACACCACCAAAACTTCTAAGTATATTATTTAAATTTCGATACCAGAATGCATGTATTTGTTCCCCTATTTCTCCTTGATCCTGTCCCGCCGCTTTTCCCACCATACTTGATTCTTTTAAATAAATTTCAAGAATTCTTTTCCTAAATGTTATTACTCGTTCCGTTTCATTGGTTAATATATCTCGAGTTATTCCTTTAACTTCTTCCACTATATATTTCGGTTGAAAGGGTGAATGAAGGATTGGAACTAAAACTGGATCCCATAATTCTGAAATAATTATATCTGGTCCTAAGATTGGTATTAATGCTCTAAAACATTTGAAATAAGTATCTAATTTTTGTGAATGATCTCGTACGGACTTAAAGATGTTTAACAATCCAGCTGAAACTTTTTCGGTTTTTTCGCGATCCATAGTAGTGCCTTTAAAATCCTCTATTAAATCAATGACCGATTGTGGACTTGAAGAAATAACAGCATTGTTTACCTCTTTCAATAGGTCTTTCAAGTTCGACATTTTTTAATAACACTTTTTTTTTATTATTATTAACTATCGCGTTAAAATGTTAAGCAAGAAGCACGGGATCAAAATTGGCCTAAGTATTACGAAGACCCATATATGGTTATCTTCGAGAATTGCGTTATTTTAAGTAATGCGGACTTTTTTGACTTATATGAAAATTGGTTATCTTTTCTTTTTTTTTATTTTCGCAATTATAACTGGGTTAGAACTTATAGCCTCAAAAATACATTCACACAATATTATAAATCATGAAAGTAAAAATTCTGATAATATAAAAATAATAATAATATAAATGTATAAAGTTGTTCGGCGCCGATGTCGTTCCTCTAATTATCTGTATTTTTTTTCAAAAGATACTCAACGAATCCAGGAAGAATTCGAGATACAATCTGGGTAGGAATTTTTAAGTACTTTCCAATTAATTTTATTAGTGCTGATGGTATAGATTCTCACTTCTGGAGGATTTACTATAGAAATTCCTTCCTAGATAAATATAATAATAAGCAAAAAACAATAATTAATAAATGTTGATCATAATTAATTTACTCTCATCTTTATCTTCATCAGACAAAGTATCCCACCTGCAATAATAAAATATAAATATAAAAATTAACAATTGCATAAAGCATGAAAACTATCTTTATATTCAGAAACAGAAGCACGACACATCCAGAACTAGTTTATCATCATTGGGATTTTCCAGATTAAGTAATCTATAACTCTTTTAATTTTATTTATTTTATTGCTACAATAACCACCCAGGGTAGTAGTCCTAAATCTAAGGAAGTAAATAAAAGTTTCGCTCGTAGCAAAAAGTCATTTTTCCATTTCGCCTTTTAGTTTAGCCCATTGTTTCCTAAACTGTCCTAAACGTCCTAAACCCTTTAACCCGAATAAGTAGCCTCATTCGAAAAAAAAGGAAGGGTTTTCATGTGCAATTTTTTTTCAAATTGCTGTAAACTAGAATCAACAACAGATGGAAATTCAGATATCATATTTAATTGCTAATCTGCCAATCAATGAGAATGCCTATATTTCCGATATAGTTATGTCCGTTAATTTTTGAACTAAAAATTAAATTTATTATGTTGCCAAAATAGTGTAAAATTTGCAAAAAAAAAAATTACCTCTTTTTGGTTTTTTGAAGGTAAATAATTTTATAGAAACAAATTTGAAAATCTAAAAACATTAGTCCCACCTTTAAATCATGTATAATGAATATGTATAAATGATTAGCAATTAAATATAATATCAATCCGCAAATTTAAAGTTTTGATATAAAATGATTTTATATTAATATGTACCATATAATCATATCAGTACTGAGTACTTTATTTTAAATAAACATACTGATATTAAAATGTCTTTTATTGATTTTTTCGTTGACTTTGCAAGATATTTAGAAAAAAATTCGTTAGATCAAAAAAGACTATCAATTGGGACACATTATACAAATGAAAGAATTTGTACTCGGAAGAATGCTTAGTACCACAGTCAATGCGCTATAATGCAGATGTATTAAATGGTTTACCACACTCAGTTAGCTTGCCTGTTAATGTTAAGTGTTATAATGGTAATAAAGAAATTTTACATTATATAAATCAAACTTATTAAAAATAATATCAGTTTATTACAAAGTGTATAAAAAACTGTATAGAATATTGTAAACTGTTTCTAATTAATCACAGCCTTATAATGATACAGACAAAACTATTTCTCTTAAGTTTAGTAAATCAAATAAGTAAATTGCATTTTTTAATATTTTTTTTATATATATTTAAATCCTTAGTATTAACTTTTTACTTGAGAACTCTAAAACAAATTTTTTAACCAAACTTTTATATTTTTTCCAAAGTCAAAAGATTTATAATTCTATTTCTAAAATCCAATTGTATTTTCTTTGTTTAATTAATCTTTTTGGTTCTCTTTCAATTATATACTAATTAATTTATATAAATTGTACCAGGAATAATATCCAAGATATACATGTCTCCAAAATTGATTTTGATTTTTTGAATATTTTGTTTTTTTTTTTTAATTTTATTAATATTTTTTCTATATATAAAAAAGTAAAATAAATTAATAAATTCAAATCTACTTAAAAATTTTAGATTTTATTAAAATAAATTTGTCTTCTATGAAAAACTATTTTTGGAATTTTCTTTGATTATATGAAATTTAATAACAATTACATATGGCAATTAAATTTAATTGAATCAAAGGCTATATGATATAGTATCGTACTAGTACAATTTCCAACATTTAATAATAAGCCAAATACTTTAAATATTTTTAAGCAAAATACTCCTAAATTTTTTATATAATGATTGGACAACTCTAATTATAATTGAACCCCTGAATATGGATTATACAAAGGGTTTATTATTTGTATTTTGTGTATATTAAAATTGGATTGGTTAGTTTGTATCATGAGACGATTACATAATACTTCGAAGAAAATTTTTCCTTTTTTACAATTTCTACAATCGCTAGATTAGATTTTATTTATTTAAAGATTTTCTAAGCTCTTTGATTTATTTCTTTAAACTTTCGTTATGGTAGAAGAAGAAGGTGAGCTATATTGTTAACTATATTCAATTTGGCTTTAGTCTAAAGAACGCTCATTTAGTGAGAAACATGCATTTGGACTTTAATCTAAGAACACTGTTTGAGAAATAATATATGAAATTTGGACTTTGATCCAAAGAACGCATTATGAGGAATAATATGCTAAAGACAAGATCTTCAGCAAGAAAAATTTAAACTTTCTCATTAACAACTTTCAGTATAGTATTATTCATATAAGTAACCTTTGTTTTTTTAAAAGAATTTGTTTGTCGTGTTTGTCGTAGTGGCGCGACCGACGAGCAACCACTTTATTATCCATGCAAATGCGCCGGCAGTATAAGATTCGTCCACCAGGACTGGTAAAGTATTTTAAAAGTTCTTTTTTTTTTTTTTTACATTTCACTACGAAATTTTAGCGACCTAATTAACTTTTTTTTTGTTTTCCAAAAACAACAGTCTGACTGAATGGTTGAAACATAGTAGAAAAATGTATGTAACGTTCATACTTTAACTCCATATTTCGTTTTCAATAAAAGACATTTATTTTATTTATTCTTTATTAGGAATTGCGAAGTATGCAAACATGAGTTTTCATTCACTCCAAGTGAGTTTTTTTTTCATAAAATTCAAGTTATAAATAACAATACATAATATCTATGAGTCAATTCCCGCAATTTCCCTCCTTTCGTTTTTTTGCTGCTGCTTCCTGTTGAGCTTTTTCTTTGTCTTTACGAAAATCTTTTTATTTTCGAGGTTTTATGAATATAAGTATATAACAAATTTTCTTTTATAGTATATGATCCAAAAATGCCCGATACAATTCCAATAGTTTTATTTTTCCGACGAGGGCTAAGGCGCGTGAATCTATTCATTAGATTATGGTTCCGTGCCATACTCGTGGGTACGGTTTGGTTAATAACACTCCCATATATGACAGTATGGGTATGGCGGTTTTATTTCTGGAGTGGAGAAACTGTTGCTTTCAGCATTAATGGCGAAAGGCCACCAACGATAGAACATGATAATAATGCTACTATTGCTAGTGGGAGGAGTACTCTCGCAAGTTTTTATGCTTCAATACTCAAAAGTACATTATGGTATGCTCCCCCCGAAGCAGTTGAACTTGTTGAAGCATACGGCGATTTCACAAGGTAAATATCTTCTTGTCACCAATAATCTTCTATACCGAAGGTACACTAGATTCATTAATTCATTATTTTAAATAGTAAATTTTTCGCCGATACTGTTGAAGGCATGTTCATTACATGTGCAGTCGTAATCGTATTTGTCGCGGCGTTCCTGTTAAGAGAATGGATCATACAGAACACACCGCCTGAAAATAATTTAGAAGAAGACATAATTGACGCAGAAGAGAATAATGAAATTATTGAAAATAATTTAAGACAAATTCCTCCCGAGGAGATCAATGTTCCTAATCTAGAACCTGCACGCGAAAATCAAGTTGGCGATTTTATTTTTAACAATGGTAACCGTTTACCACTGATAATGCCACCGCAACCACAGCCACAACCACAACGTGACGCAAACGGAATGATCATCCCCACCCTAATCCGCGACGATCGCTCCTTAACTGAAATGTTGGAGCAAGAGGAACGAAATCTTGAACCAACCCCTAAATTTTTTCGTGACGAAGATTCCGTAATGGACTTACTGAAACGCGAAGTAAATGATGAAAAATCTCTTTTAAATATTACAGATGATGAAGGTTCATCATCATCACATATGCCTACACCAACTTTAGTCCGAGATACTTCACTTAGTTCTTTGATTGTTGAACATAAATCCGATCTTAACTTAGAACAAGAATTATCAGATGATATTTCTGTTTCGACATTTTTTAAAAATTTTGAAGATGCATCGTCCGGTTTTGAAGATATTGGAACTAGTTCACAAAATAATGACCTTGGTGATGATTCTTCTAAAAATTCAAATGGTATTAATGAACAATCCAATATCCCAAAATTTATTCAATCCATTAATAATGATGAATCAATTGAAGCTCGAGATGTTGAATTAGAAAGAGATTCTTCATCTCTTATTGTTGAATTTAATGAAGAAGAATCTCTTGACTTTGAAGATGATGAAACTGGAAAAACGATCGGCAATCAAAAATCTCGTCATGCCAAAAAACGAAAATCAAAAAGGAATGGAAAAAGAAAATTAAATGAATCACTATTATCACCCAATGACCACGATGATATATCTGATGCTTCAACATCATTAAACTTTGATTTTTTACAAACTAAATCTGGAGAAAGATTGCTTTCGGACAATGGAAGATATGATGAAATACCGAATATTTCGGATAGTGAAGATATAAATATTCAAGAAAAATATCCACGGGATCTCGGAGATTCTTATAGTCCATCTAAAATTATAACGAATAATAGTGGAGTATATTATGATAAATTTCCCTTACGCAAGCATGGTTCAGCATCCTCACTGGCCGATCTTTTAGATAACAGCGATGAAGATGAACTTTCTGATTTTGGTGAGGATGAAACTGATAATTATGAAGATGATGTAGACGATAACGACAGCGATGATTCCGATAATTCCGATAATGAAAACGATAGAGAAAATGCCGAAGCAGTGGAACCCGAAGCCCCCGGTGTTCCTGCGTTACCTGCATTACCGGCACCACTTTTTAATGAAGCAATTGATGCACCAGTAGCCGATCAAGCTTTTGTTCCTTTAGGAGAAGCAGAAGGTGAGGACGAAGATAATGCTGCAAATGAAGATCTCGAAGGTGTTTTGGAAGCTATTGGAATGAGAGGATCATTGTGGATGTTGGCACAAAATTCTGCCTTGATGTCAGTTTTAATTGCATTATGTTTAGCTGGCTCAATTTGGGTACCCTACGTTGTTGGAAAGACTGTTCTACTTGTATGTCCCTTTATATTTTTGATTAAATTTCATTATAAATTATTTTATTTATTAGTTTTTCCGTAGGTCAAACCATTAAGTTTGATTCAATTACCGTTGACACTTTTACGAAGAGTAACCGATCCATTGGTTGATACTTTACTTGACACCACTTTACCTTGGATCTGGTCTATTATTTTTCCGGTACTAAAAACAGGATGGAATGTTGCCAAACCGGCATTATTACCTCTAGTTGAACAACCCTCATTAAGGATATATCTTCGTGAAATAACGGATAGAACTCAGGATCTTGTTTTTTACTCAACATCTCTAATGACAGAATATACACCGTATTCAACAGTCAATTCACTAAATTTTACTACCAACGAAATAAGTAGAGTACAAAACATCACCGAGTTCCTTAAACATCATAATCTAACTGTATTAGTCAAAGTTATGGAAAGGTGGGATGGTTTTGCTTATGGAAATACACCAACTGATAAAATTGTATGCATTATTTGTGGGTACGGTATGGTGATCCTTGTATGTACATGGTATTTAGCACGTACTCGAAATGCTTATGGTCGAACTGTTAGTCGTGCAGTTCAAGAAGGATTAAGACAACAAGGGATTGTGTTAAAAGTAAGAAAAGTTTGAGACCTTTTTTTTTTTTTTTTTTTAATTATTATTACATTTTTCATTTTATTAAATATATACTTATTACAATTTTTTATAGGTTGCATTTTTCGTTGCTATCGAATTAATTATTTTTCCGATAATATGTGGAATTTTATTAGACCTATCCACATTACCACTTTTCAATGAGGCTACTCCAACATCCCGCCTTGAATTTTATTTTGATTCCCCATTAACCTCAACATTCCTTCATTGGTTTACTGGCACAGCATTTATGTTTCATTTTGCAGTTTTTGTTTCTCTTTGTCGAGATATTGTCCGTAATGGTGTAATGTGGTTTATTCGCGATCCAAATGATCCACAATTCCATCCAATAAAGGAAATCCTTGAAAGGCCCGTTTGGACTCAACTTAAAAAAATTGGTGCCAGTGGAATAATGTATAGTGCTATGATTGTTTGTGGGCTTGGAAGTGTTATTTATTTCATTCGATATATCTTCAATGGTATTTTGCCTCTGCAATGGTCATTTTCGTAAGTTACAATATCATTAAATTTAAAAAATTTAAGTTTTATCTTTAAATAATGCTAACCGAAATTAACAAAAATTTTTAGTGATACCCTATCTGATTTTCCTATCGATCTTCTAATTTTTCACATAATTGTACCAACTACGGTTGCTTTTGCACGACCAAAACGTATGTTTCGAACTTTATTTGAAAATTGGTGGCATATAACGGCGCGTCACCTCAGATTGACCTCATTTATGTTTGGAGATCGCCACTATGAAGAAGAGGGAACACATGTCCGTAAAACATGGCATGCAGTATTACTTAATAAAAAGGCACCAGTTCCTTTACCGGATGACGTTGGTTATCTTGATGAACCCGATGAAAGTGAAGAGGTTGTATTTAATAGAGATGGTGGATTTGTTCGTGCGCCAAGTTATGATGGAGTTCCTGTAGTACCCGGACGCCGGATGTTAATTCCAGTAACAGAGCACGGTGCCTTACTGAATCCTGAAGACGCAACTGGAGATGATGAACAAGATCAGTTAGGGTACACAATTGTATATGTGCCCCCGAACTTCAAAGCCCGGGTAATCATGTTTTTGTTTTGTATGTGGCTTAGTGGTTCCCTATTTTGTTGTTCAGTTACTGTTATACCATGTAAGTTCTTTCCTGTTTAATATTTTTATTTTAAATTATTTATTTTTTTCTATTTTTTTTTTTTAACTTTTATTCCAATTTACTCTTATCTTCTTATATCGTAAAGTGTTGACTGGCAGATATATTTTTAAATCATTTATCCAACCCGATCGTCCTGTTCATGACATTTATTGTTTCACTATAGGAATTTATATTATGTGGACATTGGGTGTTTCCTTTGATTGGATGATTCGAAAAGCCCAACTTATTTTAGAAAAAAGAAATAATAACATTAATTGGAAGGTTATTCGACGTAAGATATTGAATGAAACAATTGTTGTTTTTAAGGTTACATATCTTTTAGTGGCATTTGGAGTGGTTATTCCTTTCCTTTTATCATTGGTTGTTGAATTATATTTCCTTCTTCCATGGAAGAAACCTGTTACAGATGTACCTATTATTTCCTATCTACAGGTATAGAATTGTTTATATATTATATATTATATTGAATTTTTCATATTTTTATCCTTCAATATATGGATTCTTAAATATTTCTTTCTTTTTTCTTTTTGATTTTATAGGACTGGGCACTAGGAATTATATACTTAAAAATAGCTTATCGGGTCATCTTTATGTTGCCTGATAATACTTATAGCCGAGCTTTTCTTGAAGTATGTTTATTATTTACCTTTTTTATTTGTTAATTCTAATTTATTAATTTACTTATAAACTTTAATTCCCTCTAGATTACGGGCCGAGGTATTCGACTTTTAAATGTTAAATTAGCAACAACTGCATTTATTATTCCTATTGGCGGTACTGCATTAACAGCAATCATATTACCCGCTTTGACTGCTATGGCTATTATTTTCTTAACTGGTTAGGTTTATTTATTATAATATATATTAAAGCTTTTCAAAAAAAAATCTATTAACTTTTTCTTTTTGTTTTGATTAGGAATCGATGATACTGTTACAATGGCCTTAATTTATCGATACATCTATCCTGTATTTTTGGCCATGGTATTTGGTTATAGACTACAGCGGCATATGACTCAACTTATCCGAGGTTGGATGCAGAGTGTTAGAGACGAAGAATACTTAATTGGTCGTCGCTTACATAATATTGAACAATAATATTTAATATAGCATTTAATATTTTATAGATTAGAAAAATTTTAATTGTAATTAGCATTATAAAATTAAAAATTTATTAGCTAATGATTATTTAGTTAATAATTTTTTTTTCATTTGTATAAAGTTTCAATCAATCATTTTAAACAAATAAATATAAATTTCAATATATTTTTTTTATAAAAAATATTATTATAGAATGTTATTTGACAGTCTATTTTTATAGTAAGACGTTTTTAAATGAGTCTTACGATAAAAGTGATAAAATTCTGCAACTCTATATTCGTTGTATAGAATTAATATTTTAACCTGGAAAACTCGGTAAGTTTCGTTTCGTAATTTTGAAACGACCGTGATAGTTCTGAAATTCCTACCAGTATTTCTTGACTTGAATGTAATTATTCTATTGACAACATCAAGGCAAAGGGACTCCAGATACAAAGCATTACGTGTCCCTAAAACGTTAGCTCTGTGAATCAGAACATTCATTATTACATTTAACGATGAATGCAACATGAAAACTATCTTTAATCAATTTTTGATTTCCTTAAAATTGACAAGCTTCGTATGAACAAGGAGAGGTAGCAGAAAATGAATTAAGGTCAACGGTAACAGAAAATGTTGAAATAAAGCAAAATATTTAATAAACAATGGTGAAATTATCTGCTGAGAGGTATTAAATGTGGGTACTTCTGCAAAACGAACAAATATGATCGAAAATTTATCAACATTAGTCATGAAAAAGAGGCGAATATTTGAGTTTTAAACATATAGATTTAGCTTTCCAATAATTCGTGTAGAAAAAACGTGCATAGGTCAAATTAAGAAAAATAGACAAAATTTATTGCTAAAATCATTAAGATTTCTTCAAGTTAAGGTTAACGGCATATTAAAGTTTTTAAAGCATGACGTTTTTTTTTCAACTCAGCTTATAACAATTATTTTACTGAACTTTTAACCCGTGTAACTTCCATAGACAATTTGTTATTGACCAGAATTATAAAAACGGCCTAGATTATTAAACTGTAGATCCTTTAAAGTTTTCGGCCGGTTTTAATATATTTTTCGAAATGCTTACTTAGTAAGTTTTTTAATTTCTAATTATCAGTCAAAGATATGATGATAACAGATAAATTAATTATCAAATATCATAAATTGAACGAAAAATAGATGATGAAAAACAAATAAACTAATTGTCAAATATCATAAATTGGACGAAAATTTTTAACGCGGCTATTATTTTTTATTCCATTTTAGTCGTAATACATAGAATATATTTTGATCAAATGACATAAAGAAAATTTGAACTACAAAAAAAAAACCTGTTTCTAAAAGAAAAATATGTCTAAAATTGGAATTACGTTAAATTACTGTTACGTTATCAACCGCCCCCATACTAAAAAAATAAAGTTGCAATGAATTACAATTGAGTAACATATCATTTTTACAAGAATTTAATGCCTGATTCTGTATATGGAATGACAGAAAGATTTTCTGCATAAAGATAAAATTTTCACTTTACATCTTAAGTTTATTTATTTAGGCTTTATAAATGTTTAGCAGTATAAACAGAAAATCCTACATTAAATCCTAATAGGAAATTTGTCCCTGTGACTATTTATCGTGGCTCAAACTTTAAATTAAATTATTTAATGACACTATATTTAGGTTCTTTCAGAAATTAATTTTAAATTAAGGTTATAGACTAATTAGGAATGTAATTAATGTATCGTGATGTTCTTCTGACTCAAAGTTTAATGTAGATATTCTGCCATTCTATCAACCTGTAAATTTTAGATTAATAAATTAATAAATTAAGAATTAAAAATTAAACTATACTGTGATTACATATGTTTTAGTGTAGTTTCTGATATTTTGAATTAATCAACAAAGTTAGACGATTAATTCTATCATAGTATAAATACTAAATTAGGAAAACGAATTAATTAAATTTAATTAAAATTTAATTCTGCAAGATTAAAGTCACAAGAAATTTTAAAAAACCGCAATGCATAAAGATGGCCTCGTGGTCAATACGCACGACACTACAATACAAGCAACTCATAACACAACACGCAGACTAAACAAAAAAAAATTAAGAGAATAATTGCCATTATTGTTTCTTGGCATAATGAATTTTTTATCGAAAGTTAAAGTCGTTTTAAAAAACTCGACTATTAAATTATTAAATAATAATAATAATAATGTTATTATTATTGTCATTATTAATGTTATGAGAACACAATTAACAACAATAAACACAATTAAATATTAGATATGATAAGTAAATAATGTAAATAAAGTTAAACGACGATTTGATGGAAGTTACAGTAGATATGGATATTGATGAAAGATTATTCATTCTTTTCAGGATTTTCGTGTCATTATTTGTTTCAACCTAATATTCATTTTCTTAACCCAATTATGGACATCTCACAATTCATTCAATTTGTAACAGGAGTATGTAGCGCGTATTACAAATGAAGATAATAAATTATCATAAAAACCCAGATTTGCGTTCATCGACTATCGACTAATAAATAATCTTTATATATATGCAACAAGTCGATCACATTATTTAGCCTCATAGAACAAAATTAGCGTAGAAAAAAATTTTTTTGTGATGTCATTAAAAACTGGTATTTTACATTGTTTCAGACCCTCTTGCCAAGAACAATATCACTATCATATTATTGATGTACACGGATAAAAGGAATTTAGAATCGGTAGTTGCATACATAATAACAATATAATAATAATATAATATAACAATAATATAACAATATCATTTTATTCTTTTAACTTGGTACTGTAAGCCACGAAAGGGTTTTGGGAAAATATTAAAAGGTTTGCTAATAGATTTAAGGAAACTCTATAATTCCAAATTAGGTTTAAATGATAATCATTATGATAATGAGCTTTACTCCACTCAATATCGGAATTATGTATTAAATAATCCGTCAGTTACGATAGAATAAAAAAAAAAATATTAAATAAATATAAAACAAAATGAATAATGAATGAGCAATCTATTTTATCTCCCCGGAATTTACCATCGCTTCCGATGTGTGTATATGTGTGGAGTAATCAAGATTATTTTTTCATTTGTGGAGTAATAAAAATGAGTCATAATTTTGTGTTTGAGAACATTGTTTCTTCGGACATATTTTTTGTCCTTCCTCACATCTTAATGATACATATGACTTTTTCACGTGATAGTGAAAATTAATGTGACCAATGGAGAGTGTATGACAAAATGACAAAAATGACATTCTGTAACAAGGTCATCACCAACAAAGACATCAATGTCATTTATAAAAAAAAACAATTTTTAAATTTGATGCACATTCCATTATCCAGTTAAACATGAATTCCTAATAAAGAATTCTTAAAATATATGTGTGGTATTTTTACCATAATAAAGAGATATTATTATCGGTAACAAGGGGTTACATCTGGTAATTATAGTAAAATTCTGTAATATAGATATAAATAATATATTGTTATTATTATTATTTATTACATTACCTGGCCTACGGATCCTGCATGCATGAAGAAATATTTCATTATTGAAGAGTTTCGAAAGGAACAAGGTTAATGTTAGAACGTATAATTATTACATGTCATGTAGAATATCTACGCTTATACTGCAATAATGGTATTGAAAGAAAATACTAGAAACAAAGGTTTCTTTATTATATCAAAAGAACGCTCGAAATGAACCTTTAATTATTGGTTTTTTAATTTCTGTGCTAAAGAAAAAAGGAATGCTAAAGAATAAAGAAATTAATACATGGAAGCAACAACTTGTTAAATGAAAAAAAAAAAAAATAGGTAAATGATATTCTCGTACTTGGTAATTATTTTGATATATCAAATCTTCTGATTTGTTCAATCTTCTGATTTGTCAATCTTAAAATAATTACTTTGAAATAATTTTCACTTCTTGAAAAAAGGAGATCTGGAGAGAGAGAAGGATGAAAGAGAGATTCAGAGAAGGCGAGAGTAACTTTTGAGAAGATTAGTTTTTTGTTCCAACCAAATCCACGATTCATAATATGTGGTAGTGGTTCTTAATGTATATAAAAAAAAAAAAACATTTTAAAAATTTGGACAACTTTTAAGATTACAAACATTAAATAAAATATGCTTTAATAATAATAATAAAATGAAGAATGATTACAAATACAAAAATAATAATAAAATATAAAACGATAATGCCACTTTTTTAAAAATACAAATGCCAATTTTTTGTGAAGAAATGAATGCCAATATGAAGAAAATGCCAATTTTTTTTTAAACGATGAAGAAAGAAAGAAATGCAAAAAGAAACAAAAGAATCGATGTAATTAAAAATTCTTGAAATTTTGAGAATGAGAAGAATAAAAATATATGCTAATGTATGCTTATAAGTTCTTAAATAATCGTAATTTTTTTTCATAATAATTTTTCGGGGGGGGGGGGGTTTTTTTCTAACTTAAAGATAATATCATAGAGAAAGGGTAGTAAATTTATTTCTTATTATTATACGAAAAAACGTGAATTTTTGCCAGTGAGAAAAAAAAATGAAATGAAAAAAAATAATATATATATTTTTTTTTTTTTGAAAAAAAAAAACGAAAAAAAATAATTGTTCTCTTTTGGAATTATAACAAATACTTTTGTGAAAGATACATTATTAAGATATTTTATATATACAACTAATAAAATAAGTTTAAATAATTTTTTTTTTGATAATAAAATAAATTTATTGAATAACAAAAAATATAAATAACCAAAAATGATCAAAAAAATAATATATATATATATATCGTTTTTTTTTTTTTTTTTTTTAAAAAAAAAATAAATGAATAAATAAAAATAAAAAATTTACGTTCAGGCTTTCATCCGGATTTATAATTCCGAGAGACAACAACTGTTTAAATCGGAGATCCGGTCGTAAGTATAGATTATGTTGTCGACTGGATCAATTGTCGGTATAATGCAATTGAAAAAGCCAAAGTGATCAAAATTGTTAAAATTGTTAACATAGTACAAATTGTTGTTAATGGGTTGGAGGGTGATATAGTCAATGTCAGAGTAGACTTGATTAAGTATACCGGTTGTATCAGTATCATATGATTCTTGTGAAATACATTCCGGAGATTTCAATTCAGATTCGTCTGCGGACTCGTCTGCGGAAGATCGTGGCGAATCTAACGATGGGGGAATGGAGGAATCTATAAATGTCGATTCTTGAATGGTAGCAGTGGTATTGGATATGGTGGTAGTGATAGGAGAACTAATATTACTAATGGTGGTTGTCGTAGGTGTTTCAGGATGATTTGTTTTACTATGGTTGCTACGTTTTAAAGATTTTGTAGGACGATTTAAATGAGATCTACGAGTGGGGGTATGGGGTGCCCATTCTTGATAAAGTGAAGCGGCTCTCGTAGCGATATTTTCATATTCAACTTTTTGAGTATGAGGTAATAAATTCCAGGCATCTCTTGCCCAACCTGAAACACGCTTCATTGGTATTCTTTGACCACGACGATGTAAAGCGTCAAGATATTTCTTTCGGAAGAGGATAAATGCGTTTGGTGGTTTTCTCGTATCTTTTCCTTTACCATTTCTAACTTTTGCGCCTAATTCGTATAGGTCAAAGGTGGGAGGAAATTCAATAACGAGATCATCAGGTGGACCCGTTGGCGTGGTTTGTGGTTGCTTTGCATTTACTTCAATAAAAACGAATTCTTTTGAAGACATTTTAAATTATTGATAAAAATTTTTTGTTATTAGAGTAAAATGATTAAAAGATTTTTTTTTTGACGAGAAAACTATCGAACGAAACGTATCATTTATATAAAAATTTTGGAATGATGTGTAACTCAAAATCTGATGTTCAACCAACAATAATAAATATGCATAGCCTGCATTAAATAAATCCGTTTTAGAGCTTTAGAATACAACTAATAATTTAAATTTTTTTATTTATGCTTGGCTTTTTTTTTATTTTATATTTTATATATATTAAAATTAATATATAAAAATTATAGAAAAAAAAAATTGAAATATTGTAAAATATTTGTTTCTCCGGTTCCTGACTATTCTTGAACTGGTTAATTAGAATGTTCCCACATCGCCCGACTCACCAATATGAAAGGAGAAGAAATGATACAATATAATGATCATAATGAAATGTTTTTTGGAAATAAAGGCATTTTGAATCGATTTCTCTTTTATATCATTTATAATATAATAAAAATACAGTTAATAAATATAATTACAATACTTGATATAAAATTAAATATAATTAAAAAAAATAATAAAATTACAATAAAACATTAATAACCTTAATAACTTTTAATATAATTTAAATGATTTAAAGAATAAATTTTTTCTAAATTTGAACCTTAACTTTTAAACTTAAGAAGGCAAAAAAGGCAAACGACAAAGCAACAAAGAAAACATTTACGATAATAATTCTTTATTATTTTTCATTTTATTAATAAAATTTACATATTTATAATAATAATTATTATTATTATTTTTACATATTTATTTATTACATATTATAAATTACATATTACATAAATACATATAATATATTGTTGTTATTATATTTTTGCATTATATGATTGTCAGAATTAACAAAATTACTTTAAATAGTTGAAATATTGAATAATATAAATTATATTACTTGAATTATCTAAATTATCTAAATAAAGAAATATTTATATACTCTGCTTTATTTTCGTTAAAGTGGGGAGAATAATAAATATAGTAAATGTATATGCGTGTTATTTTGTGATCGGAATTAATAGAAAAAAAATATGCGAGAATCATTAATAGTTAGTAGTTTTTCCCCAGAAGCATAATCCAAAATATTCATATTCCGCCCAAATGTTATATTCCAAAAAAATTAAAGGAAAATTCTTATTAATTTGTATACGCACAAAAATACATTAAAATTTATTTAATATTATTATTTAATATTATTAGAATATTATTATTATTAGTATTTATTATTATATTACTGTTATTATTATTATATTCTTCATATTCTTTTATATATTTTGAGAGAATTTTTACTGTAAATAACATTATTTAATATTATATAGTTTACTGATATTCGTTACAATAAATAGAAGGTTATGAAAGATGAAATAGATTATATTATGGGAACATAATAATGAATTAAAAGGTACACAGAGGGTCATATCCAAAATTTACAGGTTTATGGAGATTAGCAAATATACAAATTATAATAAATTCTATTTATTTATTTATTTTAAAAATTTTATTGTAACCTTACACTCATTAAAACAAACATGTTTATTTTATTCCTTCTTAATTTAGTAAAATTTCATTAAGCTTTATTTTTTATATTATCAAATCCTATAAACGGAAATATGCTTATTCTCGAAGGCAATGATGAAAAAAAATATATATATATTATACATTTAATAAATTCAATAAATAAGTTCAATAACGATAAATACAATAAAATAATAAATAAACAGTATATTAACAATGAATTAAAAATTATATTAATAATAAATTATTTATTAATAACAATAAAAATTATTAACTACGAAGTCAGAAAGTTCCATTATACACAATTTTATATTCTACTATGATACTATCATGTGTATCACGTATATCATGTGTTATATGTCATATGAGATATCTGGTGACGAAAATATGCAATGAAAAAATAAAGAAAAAAATGCCAAGGTAAGGTACAACAAACGCAATCCTATATGTTCCATATCTGTGTAAAAATTCAAAATACAATAGGGATTTCCCAAAACAATGAAAGATTAATTAAATTTATTGTTATGTTTTTTTAATTAATGATATGATATCATATTTAAATTTTATAATGTTGTATAACAATTATTCATTCATTGTTATATAATTTACATTATTATCAGTTAGGGGGTGTTTGAAATTCATTTGACTCATTTGACAGAAGTCAAGCGTTACACCAAATAACCGGTAAATTACTATCAAGTTAAATTATTAACTATATTTTTATGGTCAAAATTACCGATTATTTGCGGCCTTTTTTTTTTATATGTACCAGATTACAATTGGATTCAGATCTTTTTTTTATTATAAAAATTTTTTTTATTGGGGAAAGATGTGCTCCCATAAAATTAATTTGGAATCATTCTGTAGAACATTATTTATTGCTTATTGAATATAACCAATTAAGATATTATTCTTATTTATTTTTCCCACTCAAAAATTTTTTTTTAAAAAAAAAATATTTTCTTCTCGAATTACCACCACTGTTTTTAACCCTGTTCCTGCTGCTCTAACACTGTTATTATTTTTTTTTTTTAAAAAAAAAAAAATATGTACGGTTTGAGTCCTCAGCGCATTCAATAAAAAAAAAAAAAAAAACCTGATGATAAACATCACATTCTGTACATACATAAAATTCTTTTTTTTTAATGAATCAAATTTCTTGAAGTGAATCAGGTTTTAAAGAAGTTTTAGATTTAATTAAATTTCCCAAAGAAAAATATGGTAAAATTAAATTGATTCTCATGAGATATGTTGAAAAAAATTTTCAACTCGCAGAAAACATCTTCTTTCCGGACTTCATTTTACTTATTAATTCTATATCCATCTTTTTTCGTTTTGAGCCAATTACAAGAGCACATCAATTTTATCTTCTTTCTTCTTCTTCATCAGTGCCAATGGCAGAAATCTTGTTTATTTATTTGTTTATTGGAAAAAATTTTTTTTTTATTATTTTTCTTTCGCTGATTGGTCATATATTCATATTAACTAAAAAAAATATTAAACAATCCTCTTCATTATTCTTAATGTTTTTAAATTTTTTACTTAGAAAACAATGGATAATCAAAAAGATTTTGTTGAATTATTTATTTATTTATTTTCATTTTTCCCTGAGATTTACAATTATTTACAATTATTTACATACAACAAATATTAACTTTGAAAATTGTATTTATAATCCATAGAAGTTTTACTATTGTTAAATTTACTAAATTTACTCAGGAAGATAATATTGCCGCTCAACTTAAAAAATTCATTCATACATCAAAATTATCTTTCATCTAGATTTATTTGTTTAAATCGATTTTCTGTCTTTAACTTTTTTTTTCTTCTCTCAGCTGTCAAGAATGCAAGTAAATGTATCAACAATAAAGTTTACCCACGCCTGCCTACCTATCTACCTATATACTAAACTTTAATTTCGTTGGTTATAATTTTTGTACTCTCTTTTTTTTTACAAACACGCGACAATTTATCAATACTATATCAATACTTTACTTATAAAGCATAAAATATCATATGATGAAGTTTTTTAATACATGATTAGCTTGATAACCTTAAAAAATGGATATTAATGCTATACGCAGAATTATACATAGAATGTTTCTATTATTTTTATTCTATTATATTCCTTTTTTTTCGCGCACTAAACTTATGTAAAAGCACAAAACGAACACAAAACATAAACACGAGACATAGTAAAAGGGCGCCAACTTAAATGTGTAAATGTTTATACTGTATATATATTTTATGCGTATATAATATTATTAATATATACAAGATATTAAAAAGAAATAAAAAAATTTAATAATTTTAATAAAATAATATTCATATCATAATATAATAATTATTATTATTAATTATATTATTAATTATTATATAATGAAAAATAAAATTATCCTATTTACCTCCTTTTCTTCTCCCCATAAAATTCCATAAAATTAACCATCTCTAAACCCTTATTTTCACCACGCGATTAAAATATGTATGCAGGAAAAAAATTTGAACACTTACGGCCGGTTTATGATAAGAATTCATTAAATAAACTCAAATATCTTAAATATACTGTATCTAATAAAAAAAAAAAACTTAAAAAAATAATAAGGTTTTAAACTATCAAGTTATATCCGGATTTTTATTTTATTATTATTATTAATTTTTTTGTAACAACCATTTTTTTTTAAATTACGCCTTTTTATATTATAGTTAATATTAAAAAAAAAGATTTGTACAATCAATACTGCAGGTAACTGCAAAAAAATGCAAAGTGTCTGTCATCAAAGAAAAAAAAAATCCACATAATCCACAATAATATGATAAAGTTAATTATTCTTAGAGAGAAGTGAGAGAGGCGATATCATAATCTTCATTAAATAAAAAAATTTAAATTTTCTCTCTGTCATTTGTTTTTATTTATTTATTTATCTTTTATTTATTTATTAATATTAACATAAAGTCTCATTATTATTATTATATAATTCTTTATTATCATTATTATCTAATTCTTTATTGTTTGAATTTTTTCAATATATAAAATTCGTTTATTTATTTATTATTTATTTTGATAAAAAAAAAAAAATTCTCTCCATTTAAAATCTCCTATTTTACTTTTTTATTTTAATTCTCCATTTAAATTCATTTATTATTTTATAATAATGAGAATAATAATAATAATAATAATAATAATAATTTTCCTCAAATTACGAGAAATAATAGATAGTAGACGTTAATAATAATAATAATAATAAATGCACGAACCATAACAATTATGAACTGTGTAAGATAGATGTTTTATGCAATGCATAAATTTGGGTTATTTCTCTTTGAACGTCCATAATTTTTATCCGTAAATAACTTTAATACATAAAAATAATAGATAAAAATAACATTATTATTATAAAATGACGTAAGGATATAAATACAGTATACAATAATATGGTTTTTTTTAAAGT